ATGGTGCTTGGCAGATGGTAGGTACTCAAACCATATTTGCTGAATTGGTGAACTAATTCATTATGAACAGTAGCAATCAACTGCTACCTCTTACTCTGTGCCTACTCTATGCTTGGTGCTAGGGGTAGATATAGTAATATAAAATCCCGTCTCTTCTTTTACAAGCTGCGGGGGGACATGAGTGGATATGAGTGTGGATTAACAAGGAGTACTATAGGGGAGCCTGGGTGGCTCAGTCGGTTAAGCGTCCGACTCTTGGTTTCGGCTCAGGTCATGATCTCGGGGTTGTGGGATCAAGCCCCATGTCAGGCTACGCGCTGGGCATGGAGCCTGCTGAAGGTCCTCTCCCTCTGCCCCTCCCCCCACTTCTATCTCTCTGGGGAAAAAAAAAGGGAGGAGTACTATAGGAAATCCAGGGAGGGCACTGGAGGAATTGGGGAAGAACTCAGGACCAAGGTAGAATTTGACCTGGGCTTTAGGGATGGCATTTAGCTAAGCAAAGGGGACACTGGGGGCCCAGAAGGGCAGGGATGGTGAAGAGGCAGCATGAGGTGGGCGCAGAAGTGGGAAGCAGCCCGGTGTAGGCACTGTGGGCAGAACCACCTGTCGGGGCCAGAGATGAGGAATGAGGGTCATGTGTGGCTCGCAGGGGGCCTTGGGAGCCGGAGAGAGGACATGATCACCTCCAGGCCCCAAGTGCAGATAAGAAGGCCCTGGGTCCCTTATCAGTAGTCTGGTGAAACCAGGATGGCCCTCCCTTGTCCCAGACTCCCACAGTGGTTGCCATGGGAATTGCCTATGAAGAGGCTCAGGTGTCAAAGACAATGAGCCAGCGGGAAGAAGACTAGGAGGCTGTGGGCGCTAGAGGAACCCGAGCTTTGTCCTCTCACAATCCAAGCGGGGCCCTATCTTGCACTAAAATGTTGGGCCATATACCTGACTTTGAACCCAACCCTGAAATCTGTACTGATAGAGCCACCAAATTAAAAAAAAAAAAAAAATGGTCAGAGAATCACCAGCTGCTGAATTCAGTCCTGAGGGAGAGGCAGACTCTCTCCTCTATTGCTTATTCCATTGAGCTGCTGCCTTCATATTTGCTTCGAGGGGCTTACAGTGGCCCCGGCAGTGCTTTGTGATTCTGGTCCCGTGTTTCCAGCCAAAATTCATTTTTGCCAGCGAGGGTGCCTGTTGCAAAATGAGACTCCCAACTGCTTGAGGGGAAAAAATGGGGTCAGTGAAGAGCTCAGATGTCCCAGCTTTGAAGGTACTCAATTAATCTCTGCTTAATGGGCTAAGACATTTTCAACAATATAAATTCCTGTGCCTTATGCTCCTAGAGATTCTGACTTTTTATGTCCGCCGTGCGCCTAGAAATCTGTGCTTCAGCAAGCGCTCCCCAGTGAGTCTTACCATCAGGGAAGTTTTGGAAACAGTGGGGCGTGCATGCTAACGAGTTAGTGCGGGGGTCAGCAAACTTTTTTTCTGTAAAGGGCTGTCTAGTAAACATTGTAAGTTTTGTAAGCTATGCATGATAGTTGCAAAAGCAAACACAGGTATGGGCGCCTGGGTGGCTCAGTTGGTTAAGCGACTGCCTTCGGCTCAGGTCATGATCCTGGAGTCCCTGGATCGAGTCCCGCATAGGGCTCCCTGCTCGACAGGGAGTCTGCTTCTCCCTCTGACCCTCCCCCCTCTCATGTGCTCTCTCTCATTCTCTCTCTCTCAAATAAATAAATAAATAAAAATATTAAAAAAAAAAAAAAAAAAAAGCAAACACAGGTAGTGCCCAAGGGAGGATCACGGCTGTATTCCGATAAAGTTTTATTTACAAAAACAGGTGGTGGGCAGGATTTGGCCCAGGCAGGCCCGCAGTCCACTGACCCCAGAATTATGTTCACTACTCCTCCCTGGTACTGCATTCATGCTTTGATGAGGGTCTTCCTGATTCTCAACTTTTTCATTCAAAAGAGTGACCCTAGCATTAAGAACTTCAGGCCACATAGCTGAGCTTCAGAGATGCTTCGGTACAGGGCAACCTGTGAGAACCCCTCCCATCACACTGCAAGGTAGACATCACCTGTGTGCGGGCGTCAGGCTAGACGTGAGTCTGTGACATGTAGCCGAGACCAGTTGGCAACGAGGGACTCACCATCAGTGATCAAGGCTGAAGACTGAGAATAGGACAGTCTTAGAGACGGACAGGACAAGGGTCAAGGAGGAATGAGGCACGAACAAGCTGAAAATAGCTCTACCACAGACCCCGGAAATGATTACAGTCCCTGAAAATATGGGCAATTCCACTTCCTCCTTCATGATTTTGCTCCTATAAAAATATCTGAATCTTTTGGGTATAGTCGTAACTGTCAGGCAGGATCCAATCTGGGACTTTTGGTAGGGATCCCAAGGAGGCTGTCCTCTCCTCATAGGTGAAGACAAAAAAGGACACCAGTTGCGGTCCTTCATATGTTCAGAGGTCTGTTCAATAAGACCAGGGTCGAATCAGAACCAGTGGGGGAAAGATCGGGAATGGACACCCAGCTTCAGCTGGCTCTGGGGCCTAGTCGCCAATCCAAGGCTCGGGAAATCTGGGTTTTAGTTTCAGCCCCACTACCAAATTATTCTGATACTTTGAGCAGACCGTATCCTCTTCCCAGGCCTCCGTTTTCATGGGTAAAAATGAAGGGTGGACTCCACGGCCCGCTGAGGCCTCTAGAGCTGCCTCGCCCCACACGGGGCGTGAAGGCATCCAATGACAGGTGGTTACAGAGAAAGGAGGGGGTGACCGGTAGACGCGAAGATTTTACCTGCCTCGTGTCTGTGGCGCCCCAGGTGGACATTCGGACTACTGTGAGACAGAGCCAAGCAGAGCTGCCTGAATGTAGCTCCAGATCTTTCTGTCTTGCCCCTGTCCTGTGCTCCTGCAGCCTGCAGCCCCTGCCCAGGATTTAAGCACCAAGCTGTGCAACACACAAAGGCATTTCTTGACTCCCACGAACAATCAATACTGTAATCACTTTCTGCAACGATCTCTAGCCCTGGATCTTGTTGTGCCGTTCGATCTGCTGCCAACAAACCGCGTCTGTGGCTCAGGATGAGAAGTCCGCTGTTCCTTTAGCTCAGTGGTTCCCTGCAACTTTAGCCACGTTTTGAAGTCATTGGAAACGTACCCCCAAAAATGCCAGTACCTGGGCCCCAGCCCCAAGAATCTGAGGTCATTGATCTGGGGCAGGGCCTGGGCATCAGGGGTATCTGAAAGCTGCCCCACTGTTTCTGTCACACCGCCAGGACCAAGACCCACCGCCTGAGGTTCGAGCGCACTTGGGTCAAACAGGTGGCTTTGTGCAATCTGCCCTCTGTGGGGAATGAGATTGCTGGCTCCGGAATAGAACACAGCTGGGACCAGGGCCCAAGACCTGACGAGGACATTTGTCTCGGGTGTGTCTTTATCTCAGGGCCCTGCCCTCCTGCAACCAATCTCGTAAATGGATTTCAACTGCAGTGTTCATGGCAGAAAATAGCTTAAGGTGTCCCCTTCCCAGCTGGCAGGGGCCTTCAGGACCTTAACTCTCAGGGATTCTTGATGGCGGGATTCGAAGGCTCCATGACAAAGCTGGTAGGGGAGGCGGTTTGAAGGAGCCCCAAACCTGGTGTACCCCCTAGTCCTGCTCATCCTAGTAAGTGGCAACTCTGTTCTTCCAGTTGACTCCTCTCTTTTTCTCACCTCCCACATCCAATCCGTCAACACATCAGCTCGGTTCTATCTTCAGAATAGATCCAGAATTCGCTCCCTTTTCATCACCTCCGTTATTACTACCCTAGCCCAAGCTGCCATCATATTTTAACTGTATTATTACAGGAGACTGCAAACTGGTCTCCTTCCTTTGGGTGTCAACCCTCCTACGCTGTTTTCCACACCACAGCCAGAGGCATCCTTTTAAAATGCAAGTCAGACCCTATCTGCTTAAAACCCTCCAGTGGAGTCAAATCCAAAGTTCTTGCCATGGCTGACAAGGCCCTAGGTGACCCAGCCCCCACCCGCCTCTTTGAATGCCATCCCTCTGGCTCCCCATCCATTGCTCTGCTCTGGCCACACTGGGCGTCCTTGTGGTTCCTCATGCACCCCGATGCCCCTCCCACCTCAGAGCCTTTATCATTCTTTCTGCCTGGGAAGCTCTTTCTCCCTCCACTTGCTTCCCGTCTCTGCTTAAATGTCGCCTCCTCTGAGAGGTCTCCCCTGAACATCCAGTCTAAAATAATGCCCTCATCACTCACCCCTCCTCACTCGTGCATTCTCTTGTGTAGCCCTTCACCCTGCTTGATTTGGCCTCGGGGTCCTTCTTTGCTACCTAAAGGGTATTGATTTGTTTATTGTCTGTCTGATCCCGCTAGATGGATGCTCTTTGAGGCCTGGGAGCTTTGTGTTGCTCACTGCTGAATCCCTCATCACCTAGAACAGTGCCTGCAAGTAGGAGGTCCTCCCTAAATTGGCCACACAAATGAATAAATGCCCCCAAAGACATGAGGGGGCCCCTCAGCAAGACTCCTGATTTTCCTTGAATCATTTTCTTTAGTCTCCTTCCTGGGGGCAGGGCATATCTATGAGATGAATAAGATCATTCCTGTAACTCCTTTGAGATGCTCGTATTCAGATTAATAAAAGCCACCATTTAGGTGTATCTCACGCTACGAAAACCAAATATGTACTTATTCAGTGTATGTTATCACTAAAGAATTTTTGCAAACTCCCCTAGGCCTAGAGTGTTAATAACGGGATTCGATTTACCTAAATTCTATTCATGTCCAGCTTTTTTCAGAACACACCAATCGTAGAAGGAAGCACTTAGCACATTGCCTCGCACCTAGTAGGGAATCAATACTTACTTATTGACTTATTGATCAGTAAGGCCAAGTGTACCCGTACTGAGACATCTTAACTCCAGCGTGGCAAAGGTCAGGTTTATCCCAGGGATGGAGAACTCACTGGCCCTCTGTTCTTTTTGCAGTCCCCCAAATCTGCCTTCATCAGCGCTGCGAAGAAGACCAGGCTGAGATCGAATCCTGCGAAGGTCCGATTTTCTGAGCAGGTGGCAGTTGGAGAAACAGACGCAGTAAGTGCAGCTTTATTTAGCTCCCTGTCTTCGGCCCTTGGCTAGAATCAGCCTGGCCATGGAGGTCTCGCTCTGGAGGTCTCTCTCTGGAGCTCATCTGCGGCTCCTCGGAGTGGGCGGCATTACGAATGGGGTTGGAGAGGGAGGACCACGGGGCTCCAGACTAGTAGCAAGTTAGGAGTATGTGGCATCCCGAGCACCAAAGCTTACACTCAGAGCCAGCCCTCCACAAACATCTCTGGGCTGTTTGACAGAAGCAGGAAGGAGAAGGTAGTGGTTTTCTAGATTCGGAGCGAGAGCGGCTGGTGAAATCGAGCTCTCTTCACATTGAAGTGGTCCCACAATGGTTCATCTTGACGGGAGAAGACCCCAGCGAGCAGCCTGGGGGATATGATACAGACTCTCATTGTCACAGAGCTTTGATTAGGCACCTGCTGTGTCCTCAGTGCCACAAGGGATGCAAAATGAACACCTCTTCCCTGCCCCTGGATACCACTCAGTGATGTTGGGGGGTCGGGGGGGTGGGAAAGTAGTTCAGATTGAGATGACACAGCGTCCCCCACTGGGTGGTATGGTTTCAAGGAGCAGGTGATGCTTGACGGTCCATTGCCATGCAGCTGCCAGGCTGGGGGCGGGGGGCGGTCATGGCCAGCCCGCAGTCTTTCTCACGGCTCTGTGGGGGTTTCCGTGAGCTGAGCCGTCTGCTCCACATAACAGATGGGTGGAGGGCAGAGAGGTGTGTATTAAGCAGTCATGAATTATGGCCCGAGTCCCCCAGGAGTGTGCAGAAGTCCGTGATAGCCAGGTGGGGGTGGGGGTGGGGGTGGGGGGCGGGGAGAGCCAGAGCTAACAGGCATTTGTGCACTTTTGAGGCTTCTGCGGGCTGGGCTCCCGGGAGGCCCATGGCATGTCTGTCCGTCCGAAGCACAGCTGCAGTTGAGAAAAGAAGCCAGCAGGCCCAGCCCAGTGGGGAAATCTGTGGGGTGCCAGGTACTTGTGTAGTTCTTTGAAGTAGAGCCACTCAGAACAAGGGGTAGAGGACACAGGTGTCTTCCATCGCCTTTTCCCTGGCACTCGTTCCCAGCCTCAGCCCAGGCCCTCTTCCATCCCCGTTCAGGGACAGCTGAGAAGCCCAGGGGACTCCAGGGTCCCCCTGGGGAAGCCGCCACATAATTGGTGGCTGGGCTCCATCTCCGTCCTAGCAGGAGAGGTTCAAGAGAAGTGGGGGGTTGGTGAGCAGAGAGAAGAGGGAACTGCGTGGAAACCCTGCAGATCATGATGAAGGACACCCTTAGGGCCAAGCCACTAAGGGGACGTGTGTGTCCTGAGCCCTTGAAAAGCCAGAGGAGATGCAAATTGAATCTGGAAAGGACAGACTCTCAACATTACAGAGTAATCACTCAAGACCAGGCCACCAGGGGAAAACTTCCCCTCCACCTCTCCCTTCCCTTTCTCCTCCCCTCTCTGCCTCTCCCTTCTACTCTTCCTTCCCCTCTCTCCCCTCCCCCCACCATGATTCCCCTCTCCATACATCTCAGCTATCCACAGGCAAGATCAAGCCCCCACCCCAGACCAACCTGAAAGCAAATGCCCCAGAGTGGCTAGGCCCCCCCACCCAGGGTGCCTTCTGTCGCTCCTGGACAGGCCACCACGTGCAGTGTGAGGCTCTTGACTGAGAGACAGACAAACAGACATCAATCTTCCCACTCTAGCTGTGCTCAGGAAATGGCCTGATGTCACAACCCCCACCTCCCATGGCACCAGTGTGGAGCCTAGCAGCCTCACCATTGGTTGGGACCTAGGGGAGTCCAGGCCCAGGTGACTCTAAGGCTGTCCTATCCTCCTTTTGCCTCGGTGTTCTGGGGCTTTATTAAGCAGCCAGAGCAAAAATAAATCCTGTGGGCGTTCCTTGCCAACCCTATTTTTAAGCAAAATCAATTAAGTAATTATCTGAGTCCAACCCAGTGTGCTAAATAAAACCTGCCACCGCCGAGTGTCAGCCTGGAGATCCAGTGCCTCTGGGCTTGGTAGGAGCAAGGCATCTCAGGAGCAGGCCGAGAACCAGGGAGTCTACACTTTTCCAACTTTATACCCACTCCTGGCTCCCCTCCACCGCCAACCAAACCCCAACGCGGGAGGACCTGCTTGTTCATTTTTTCATGTCCGCGACAGTCCGTAGATGTGGACTAGCCCTCTTCGGGCCTCTCTAGTGGTCTGCGCCCGCCGTCTCCTTCAAAATCAAAATCTAATTAGTCTCACCTAGGAAATCTTATCTATCTTACAGCTTTTGGTTTAGTTTTGGTTTTATAATTGCTCTCTAGTGGATTCGTGTGGATGTGCCCGGTCTCTACGACAAGAATATAAGACCAAACCCAGTCCTCTATTTTTGCCTGGCCCTCATGGAGCTTACTTAGCATAGTGTGGGGCATATAGGAGAGGCTCAATGAATGCCCACTGAATTAAGCTGACCATTTTAGGCAGCTTTTTGGTTCCTATAGACCTGGTGATGGCCCAGGGAAATGATTGGACTCTCCTGATGATTCTGATCATTCAAGTAAGCACATATTAAGCATCTACTGCTCATATATTCAGTACCCATATATTGAGCACCAACTATGTGCCAGGGACTCTGCTCAATGTCAGAACTACAAAGATTGAATAGGGCCATGGATGTGCTACAAGTTCACCATTTGGGAGAGACAAAAATTCTTCAAAAATATGCTAAGAACAGGGCACCTGGGTGGCTCAGATGGTTGAGCGTCTGCCTTCAGCTCAGGTCATGATCCCGGGGTCCTGGAATCGAGTCCCACATCAGGCTCCCGGCTCAACGGGGAGCCTGCTTCTCCCTCTGACCGTCTCCCCTCTCATGCTGTTTCTCTCTCGCTCACTCTCTAAAAAATAAATAAAATCTTTTAAAAAAAAATATGCTAAGAACACTGAAAGTGGTGTGTGTGACATTACTCTGAGAACACACGGGAACACCAGGTCCAAGTATGTAATGAGTTTGGACAGGACTTCACAGAATTGGTATTTAAGCTGGGTTTTGAAGGATGAGTAGGAGTTGGCCAAGGAGGCAAAGAGGAAGGCAGAGAGAACAGTCTTTATGTAACACATATTTATTGAGAACTTAACATGCACCACTCTGTAAATCAAGGAACACCTGGGCCAGGAAAACTTTTGCTAACAAGTTATCAGGCGTTCAAACATGGGCTTTGCCAGTTTGGTTCAGTACTGCCCACTCTCAGCTTTTGGAAATGTCGGAGGGTGTTGTGGGTCATCCCGACGATTTGGCATGCTATTGGCATTGAGTGTCTCAGGGTCAGAAATGCGTAGTGTCCTGCAGGGAGGACACAGTCCCTGAATGATTGGTTGTCAGAGGTATGGAGGCATGAAAGTGCAGGGTGGGTACCTGGACTGTCAAGACAGGACTCTGGAGAAGTAGGCAGGGGCCAGGTCAGAAAGGACCTAGGAGACTATGGGGGCGGGGAGGGGGTTGGCAGAGCAAAGGCACGGATGTGGACATGATCTCTGCATGTGAAGGGCTTGGTGGAAAGGGAAGTGTCAGGATATAAGAGCAGGCGGGTGAGGTGGGTCCTAAGGAGGCCTTCCATCTGCTCTTTAGTGCATGGTGGTCTCTGTGGGCCAAGCACCACCCTAAGGTGTAGAACTCTGAGCCACAGTAGGATGGGGGTGCACCATGATACCGAATGAAGGGTGAACTTTTGATATGGCCCAATGTTTTCTTAGAGCCTTTGGTTCTGGTCTACAGGTAGCATGATCACTGATCTGTTCTTTCCTCTGTCTCCTTGTCCTTCCCTATCTTTGGCTCCCTCTCCTTCACTCGCTCCCTTCTCTTCCTTTCTATACTCCTCCTCTGGCTTCCCTCTGCCTTCTAAATGAGCCCCTCTCCTTGACCTTTCCCTGCTTATTCACAGAAAATGATGAAGAAAGAAGCTATTCTCCTCATCCCCAACGTCCTGAAAGTTTTCTTAGAAAATGGGCAGATTAAATCATTCACTTTTGATGGCCGGACCACTGTTAAGGTACATACAGAGTCTCCTCCCTCTCGGGTCAGCCTTTGCCCTCTCTGGGGCACACATGGCTGCTGGTTCCTGACTGTCTGTGAGTCTGCACAGAGGTGCTGCTGGGGAGCGAGGTGGCCTTGGAGCTTCTGCCTCTGTGAGCCCCAGGCTGCAAGAACACGCAGCCCTCGGGTGAGGGTGTGTGTGTGGGGGGAGGCATCTGAGTGCCCAACTACATGTGTCTGTGTGTTTGCGTGTGCATGCTCGTGCATGCACACCATGCATGTGCGCACAAGCACAAGTGCATTGTATGTGCATACCTACTTGTGAACTATGTTGTGTCCGTGTTATACCGGGTCCTTCAAGACTCTTAGGAGCTAAGGAGTATGAAAACCATTAAAACATTTATAAAGCAAAGGTGATTTATATTGCTACAGTAACACCTATGCACAAATACACACAGAAATCAACAAACACAATCTCTTGGGAGATTAGCTTAGCCATGCTTTGCTTCTGAAATAGCCATCAGATCTTAAGCACTGAGCCAAGATTGGAAACGTCCAGCAACAGTCCCTTTGGCTATTCCTTTCATAGAGAGAGCAACTACTGAGCTGTGATTCTTAAGAACTCAGCCAGCCGTCTAAAAGCTGTAGCGATTCCCTTCGTCCTGAGGAGAAGAGGCAATGAAACGATTGACCCCCAGGTTCAGCTCTGATCTGGGACAGAAATAACTTCTCCTGTTTCTTCTGGACCCCCTAGAATGAATTTCCACGCAACCAGTGGAATAGCATCTATCTGCCCGGAAAACCCACCCTGGCTCATAGGCGTCCTGAGGTCCTCAGGCTGGGGCCAGGACAACCCTCTAAAGAAAGAAACCCTTGGGCCAGGAAATTTCCCGAAGAGGAATTATCAGGTGTTCAGGGGCGGCCTCACCAGTGGTTCTCGGCCAGAGTTGCCACTCCCCTCCCAGATGGCATTGAGGAATTTGGGGGTCATCCCATGGTTTGGGGTGCTACTGACATTGAGTGTCTGAGGGTCAGAGCTGCTGAGTGTCCTGCAAGGAGACAGTCCCTGAATGATGAAGAATTGTCCTGCCCTAAGTATCAGTATAAAGTTATAAAAGTTATAAAACACCGGCCTACCCGTGTCGGAACGGAGAGTCTCTTCGGAAGGCTGAGGCCTGGCTGGGTCCCCCAAGGGGCCTAGGACCAAAACATATTCCTGAGGGTATCCTGGGATGGTCTCTTGCCTGTCGGAGGTCTCAGCCTATGGGAGGGACATTGAAGAACAACTAGGCCACCCAGGGGTGTCCAAATGCCCCTCCTCCAGATGTGGCTATCTCTCTGCATCAGAATCCTCCATGGCATTTATTCGTGGGTCAGTATGTCCCCTATAGATCTGTCCCCACACCAGAACATTTGCTCCTCTCATTCCCCTCGGAGGCTTCTCCCAGTGTCTCCCGACCTCACAGTGATGACCCAGTGACCCAATGACACTGTTGCCCCCAGGTAGCCCTAGCCTTCCAGGACAGCAGTGTCCCCTGGCTTGTGATCTCACCCTGACTTCAGGGAAAGTGCACTGGCCATTCATGGGAACTTGTCCCAGAGAGGTACCAGGGTGACTCGACAGCCTGGCACGGAGGCTGCTCCACTTGTCCCACCAGTTGGCAATCACCAGCTTGGCCATCCACAGTCCTAGTGCAGCTAAACAGCAAAGAAAGCCTCATTTGTCCCTGCCAGAGCTCCATCCGCACTGGCACCTCTGTGGCTACTTGGACGCCACAAAGAGACACTCTCAAGTACCCGCCAGTTGCCAGCCTCACGTTTGAATGGCTTAGCGTCCTTGAATGTTCACTGAGGGACTTGTTTGACAACTCTGGGTATAAGGGAACCGCGCATTCCCAAGCCGGCTGCGTTCTGGCCTCTGGGGTCTGAGCTGTGCTGACTCCAGGAACACACACACACACACACACACACACACAATGGAGCCCAGTGTGTGCTGAAGTCACAGCAAGTAGACGGCCGAAGTCTCAAAACTGACATCTGGCAGCCCCCAAGGATAGGTTTGCAGACATCCTAATATTTAAAGTAGGGAGCAGAGCAGACAGAACCCCGAAGTAGTCAGATTTGTGACTACACAGACACGTGACGTGGTTCCTCCGCATGGACACATTTTTCAAGTTGCTAAATGGATGGTCTCTGAAAGCCAGCTACAATCAAAAACGAACATTTTGCCAGTAACTCAAGTCATTCGATTTGGATTATGAATCCAGAAATAGTCTGCTTTTTAATTACGTGATTGTGGCTCTGGCTTTTGTTCGTTCCTGAGGAAAGGGTTGGTGGACAAACTAGAGTGAAGGTTCTGACTTATGTAAGGTCAGGAAGAACCAGCATAGTGCCTTCCTTATTCAATGGCCCACTTGGTAAGCACTCCGAAAGCATTTTGTTGACTGGAAGGAGAGAAGGAGGGAGGGAGGGCCATGACCACCTTTTGCCAGATGTCTGGCCAGGCCAAATTCAGAAACTCCGCCCTCTCCCACCCTGCACCTTTGGTGTTCCCCAGGGCCCAAGTACTCAGGGTCCCTCTCCTCATCCTGGAGAATGCCTGGGCCACCCTAAAGGCCTGTGTCTCCGTCTGGCCACTCTCCCGGCTTCTGCCCCCTCCCCAGGACCATCTCTCTTGGGGTGCAGTCCCCCTCTCCCATGTTTGGTGCCGAGAGTGGTATAGAACTGGAATGTATCTGCCTCTCAAGGCTCTCTTCTCTTCCACAGGATGTGATGGTAACATTACAGGACCGTCTTTCCCTGAGGTACATTGAGCACTTCGCTCTAGTCCTTGAGTATGCTGGGCCGGAACAGAACCACAAGTTCCTGCTTCTCCAGGACAAGCAGCCTCTGGCTTATGTAAGCAACTCCTTCGGCCTGGCTTGAGAGCTGCCTGTGGCCTCTAATAGAGAAGAGGACTCCGGGCACCCTCTTTCTGGAAAATTCATAATGATTTCCTCAGCCAGCCAGCCCCCAGAAATGAACAGTTCTCAGTTAAGGTCTATACTAACCACATCCAGTGGGCTTTGGGCGATGTTCCTCATGACCTGAGAAGGGCATGAAGATTGTTAGTCTTGGTCTCTAGTGGGGAAGGTGTGGGGTGGTGAGTCACTGCGTGGCTCCCAGAATGTGAGATAGCCGTGCCAAGCCTCCTGTCTCCTGGGGGCCCTGCCGGCTAGCCTTTTCTGTCTCTGAGAGGAAACTTGGCCTTCCGATGAAGGCTTTAGTACAAAAAGGTCAACAAGTGGAGTCTATCGAGACCACTGAGGCCGGGACAAGTGTAGGCTGAGAATGGGCTGAGTGGGGGATGGGCAGCACGTCACCCACATCCACTTCCAAGGCAGAGTAGGAGAAAGAGCCTGGGGAGAGCCAGAAAATGCTGGCTTCGCCAATGGGGAAGCACCAAGAAGAGCCAGGGAGGCCAACCAGGACTCCCAGAGAGGGAAGGAAGGAATTGGAGAGGGACAATTGGGAAAAAGTGCCTAAATGCAAGTGCGACAAAAACCAAAATCAGACACACACACACACACACACACACACAAGAAAGGACTTTAGGAAAGAACAATTCTTCAAGGTTAGCTCTCAGCCAAATGCAGTCCAAAGCCTCACAGGATCCCCCCTGTGGAGGGAAGATTGTTAGCTTGGAAGGGAGGCCTATGCACCTCCCACCCAGCCTCTCAAGAGGCCTTCTGAATCCAATTGGTCTCTTTTTCCAAATGGGATTTTAAACTTTTTTATTGCAAAACAAAAAAAACAAAAACCAAAAAAACATAAAAAACCAACCTCAAACATCCACAAGAGTAGAAGGAATTGTATCATGAATTGTCATGACCTATAGCAGCTTCAGCAGTTACCCATACATGGCCAGCTTGTCTCCCCTATACCTCCAAATGGGATTTTAAAGCTTTGGTTTGGCTTTTTTAATCAGCCACTTACTCTGCTGGCGCTGAGCCTCTCTGCAAGATAAAGGTGTTAGACCCGCAGCGAGAAGAGTCGGAGAAGTTACCAGGAGCCCTCTCTTCCCATCTTGTATCTTGGGCCTTAGACCCCATTGTTGGTAAAGGCCATGTCCTGGTTAAGTGATTCGACAATCCTAGTCACTTTGGGGCGCCTGGGTGGCTCCGTTGGTTAAGGGTCTGCCTTCGGCTCAGGTCCTGACCCCGGAGTCCCGGGATCGAATCCCACATCAGGCTCCCTGCTCAGCGGGGCGTCTGCTTCTCCCTCTGCCCCTCCCCTAGCCCGTGCGCTCCGCCTCTCTCTCAAATAAATAAATAAGATCTTTAAAAAAAAGTTCTTTAAAAAATTTCTAGTCACTTTGGACCAGAAGGGCAGGCAAGACCTTTCCTCGAAGGGTAATTGGGGTGGGCCGGGTGGGAGGCAGGCGTAAGCAGCCACCTCGCTCAGCCCCGAGCCCCGCCCTGAGGAGGCACCAAGCTGGCTCTCACCCCTGCGGCCACGGGCCAGGGATTCCCAGAACTCTTTCCTCACCCCTCTCATCCCTGGGATTCAGGTGGTACAGCGGACACACTACCAAGGAATGAAATGCCTCTTCCGAATCAGCTTCTTTCCCAAAGACCCCGTGGAACTGCTGCGTCGGGATCCCGCTGCTTTCGAGTACCTGTACATCCAGGTAGAGTCTGATTGGGGGTACACAGACAGACAGACCCATGGACAAACAAGCAGTCAGGCTGTTCTGCCATCACCATGAAGTCGCTCTGTAAGGTACTCCAACCTCCGGGTAGCTCTGAAGGCCCTCTCCTTTCCTGCTACGGTTGTGGGCCACGGCCACGTTGTTCAGCCTGGTGACCGGTGCTTGGTGTAGCTCAAGTCCCGCCTAGGTGTCTGGGCAGATCTCATCAGTTTGGGGGAGCAGGCAACCCGTGTCACTCTGTCACCATCACAGGATCCCGGGTTTACCGAGCCCATTTGGGTAATTCTGATGCCCAGTGGCATTTGGGAACCACTGCTTTAGGGCAGTGGGTTTTACCCCTAGCTGCACTTAGAATTATCTGAGAAGGCTTGGAGAAAAAAAAAAAAAAATGTTCTGCTCCACCCACGACCAAATGAATCAAAATCTATGGGAATGGGCTCCAAACGCTGATGTTTTCTAAATTCCTCAGGTGGTTCTCGGGAGTAGCCAGGGGTAAAGAAATTCTGCCGTAGGGTGGGGGTACAGAAATGTGGAAGGGAGAGCAGCCTGGGCAGATGAGCAACTTTGAAAGATTACACAGGTGCCGAGGGAGTACACCAGCTGGGGAGCTACGGGGGAGACATGATGGAGGCCAGAACCAGGGCAGTTTTGGATGGGGGGGCGGGATTCAAGAGCTAATGAAAAGGTAGAACCAATGGGCTTTGACTCAATGTGCGTCTGGTAGAGGTGGTCTCATTCTCCAAGTGAAGGAATACAGGGAGTTTCGGAATGGGTTTGGGGAAAAGATGAGATCGTTTTGTGTTGAGTCCTAGGTGCCCATAGAACGTACAGAGTGCTTGACAAGAGGAGAAAAATGAGCTCCAGACTCATCTCTGATGATGTCTCTGACACCTGCAGACATGCTGTAAGACATCGCGGTTGTCCCTTCTAACAATCCAAAATGTGAGGAACATTTCTCAAACAGCCCTGGGCTCCTCTACCAGCACTCTGGAGACAATGAGTTGTGGCTCCTCTGTGAATTCTTTAAGTTTAGTTCTCATTTTGTTGGCCCTAAATGGCTTCATCCAAGCTTCCGGGGATCACCTTGGTTCAATTGTTTTGGAATTTGGTGTCAAGACCGTGTCCACCCCGTCCCTCCCCTTCATGATGATATGGACTTCACCTGTAATTTCTTATTTTTTATGTCGAACAGCTTTATTGAGGTATGACTGACCCATAAACTGCACACATTTAAAATGACAATTTGGTAGGTTTCGACATGTTTATACCCATGAAACCATCACCACAACCAAGATATTGAGCATATCCAGTGCCCCCCAAAAGTTTCCTCAGGCTTCTGTGTAATTCCCTCCCTGCCCTCAATCCCCAGGCAACCACTGTCCTGCATTCTGTCACTATAGATGAGTTCACATTTTCTAGAGATTTTATATAAATGAAACCGTACGGTGTGTACATTTATTTTGGTCCGACTTACTTCACCCAGCCTAATGACTTGGAGATCTGTCTTTGTTGTGTATTTCATTATTCCATTCCTGTTTATTGTTGAGTAGCATTCCATGGTATGGATGTACCAAAATGTTTTTATCAGTTTACCCGCTGATGGCCATTTGAGTTGTTTCCAGGTTTGGGCTACTACGAACAAAGCTTCTATGAACATTCATGTACAAGTCTTTGTATGACATGTGCTCTTTTCTCTCTTGGGTAAATACCTAAGAATGGAATGGTTTGATCATACGGGAGATCTCTTTCTTTCATTTTTTAAAAAGAAACTCTAATACTGTTTTCCAAAGTGGCAGTGCCATTTTATATTCCCACCAGCCATGTATGAGAGTTCCAGTTTCTCTACGTCCTCATCAGCACTTGGTATTTTTCAGTATTTTTTTAAGTCGTTTTAATAGTATTCAGTGGTATCTTGGTGGTATCTCACTTGCATTTCTCACCGACTAATGTTAAACACCTTTTCATGTGTTTGTTTGACAACATACATCTTTTTTGGTGAAGTGTCTTTTCAAATCTTTTGCCTCCTTTTTTATTGGGGTTGTTCATCTTCTTGTTACCGAGTTACGAGACTTCCTTATATATCCTGGATAGAAGTTGCTTGTTGGATATGTTATTTGCAGTTTTCTTTCCCAGTCTGTGGCTTCCCTTTTCAGTCTTTAAACAGTGTCTTCCACAGAGCAAACGTTTGAATTTTGATGAAGTCTAATTTCTCACTTTGTTCTTTGATGGATAATGCTTTCATGGATCATGCTCATAATGCCATATCGAAGAAATCCTTGCCTAACTCGAGGTCACAGGGATTTTCTCCTTTTTTTTTCTAGAAGTTTTAGCATTTTAGTTTTTACATTTAGGTCTGTGATCCATTTTGACATAATTTTTCTTATGCAGTACAAGGTATCGACCAAATTTCTCTCTCTCGTGCGTGCTCTCTCTCTCTTTTGTATTATGAACATCCAGCTGTGACTGCACCATTTGTTGAAAAGACTATCCTTTCCCCACTGTCTTGTCTTTGCATCTTTGTCAAAAATCAGTTGTCTATAAAGGTGTGTGGGTCTATTTCTGAACTCTTTATTGATCTACTTGTCTATTTTTATGCCAACATCACACTCTTGATTACTGTAGCTTTGTAAGTCTTAAAATCAGGTAGCACTTACTCTCTAACTTTGTTCTTCGTTTTCAAAGTTGTTTTGGTCATTCTAGGTCCTTTGCATTGAATTTTAGAATTAGCTTGTCAATTTCTACCAAAAATCTGCTGTGATTGTGATTAGGGTTGGGTTGAATCTATAGATCAGTTTGGGGAGAATTGACATCGTACTAATAACGAGTCTTCTGACCCATGAACATGGTATATTTCTACATTTATTTAGGTCTTCTTTAATTTTGCTCATCAGGATATTCTAGTTTTCAGTGTACCGGCTTTTCACTTATTTTGACAGATTTATCCCTAATTATTTTAGAGTTTTCAATGCTATTATAAATGGTTTTGACTTGTAATTTGACTTTCCAATTGTCGCAAGCATGTAGAAATGCAATTGGTTTTTGTATGTTGCTCTTATGTCCTGCAGCCTTGCTAACTCATTAGTTTTAGTAGGCGTTTGGTAGATTCCATTGGATTTTCTACATAGATGATCACTGATGAAGCATTCCTTTTCCACTCTCTCCTATGCTGTGGTGATACCACTGTGGCTCCCTAGTCCCTCGGCTCATCCAGGTTTCACCTCAACCAAATGGGCAACTGGTCTAACCTAGGCTGAATCATCAGGAGCTGAGACTCTAACCCTCAGGGTTTGTGCACTATCATACCCTTGACCAGTAGTTCCAGGGAACCCCCTTTAGGATAACATAGAGAAGATTGACTCATTGCTGCTTTTGACCTTCAGACCCCTAGGAACAGAATATCTGCTCCATCCCTGCAATCCGTCTCTCACCCTGGGCTTTGGGGTCAGAGTGCTATGGAGAGCTCCTCCCAGTATCTCTCTTTATTCCCATCTGAGCTAGTAGAAGATCCCTGTATGGCTGGGGAGTGAGTTTAGGCCTCTTGTAACAAGACGAAAGAAAGAGAGTGGTGCCGTGTCTCACTTTTGCAGTGACCTAGATGTTCTGCCCATTTGGACTTCGCCATTGTGTGCATCTATCCCTGAGAGGCCTGTCCAGGATCTGCTGAATGAAGCAAAATAGTGTCCCTGAGACCCAAGGTTCCTCTGTTGCCTCTCCCCCAAGGGCAGAAATTTCCTCTTCCCCTTTATCTAGGATGTCTTACTGGACACTGCCATTCTTTTCTGGGATGCAAGGGAGTAGATCTGGGGTGGAGTGGGGGGTGGGGGGTGGGGAGGGAACATCTTTTTTAACTGACAGGTTTGGACTGCCCTCTCCTGCAGAGTCGGAACGATGTTATCCGCGAACGCTTTGGAATGGACCCCAAGCCGGAGATGCTTTTGGGCCTTGCTGCCCTCCACATCTATATCACGGTCTCGGCCACTCGACCTAGTCAGAAGATCTCGCTCAAGAATGTGGAGTGAGTTGTGCCAGGGCCCTTTGGGAAGGTGGCAAATAGCTGTAAAAGGAGAAAGTGCAACGACTGAGCTGTGCTATGCTTTTCAGGAATGTAGGGCCCCGGGGTGGGAATGAGGATTATGGTTCCTCACACCTAGGCCGTGATGCCTTTGAGCTCCAGCTTCTACCAGAGAATCATGGCCAATGGGATTCTCTTGCCCTCATCCCTCTCTTTTTCTTACAGGCTCCTTCCCTCCCTCTGCCTCTCAGATCTGATTTCTGCCTCACCATCTTCTTTTCTCAGCCCCGCTCTGTCACCCTCACTAATTTCTCGCTTTTCTTCTTTCTGCTCTTAGGAAGGAATGGGGCCTGGAACCCTTTCTTCCCCCCTCCCTCCTACAGGGCATCAAAGAGAAGAACCTTCGGAAATCTCTCTCACAGCAACTGAAGGCCCACCAAACACATCCTTCCACTGGCACCAAGGTACCAAGTGTCATCCATTGGGGCCCTGCTCAGGCGCTTGGGGCTGTGCAGCTCTCCTGTGTGGTTTCCCAGCAGGTCTGGTCTTCCGAGGGAACTCCCCCCACCCCCGTTTTTGACTTGGGTACACATCCAGTTTGGCTGGATATGGGGGATGATGGTGGAGAGGGATTTTCCCCAAACCTGAGCTGCTCAGGGGCAAGTCACCGCGAGAGCCCAGGATCCTCAAAGCAAAGGGGCCGGGCTGAGGTGCAGGAGGAGGCAATTCTCCGATCATTCCGCCCATTTCGTCTGTGCTGACTGAGCACCTGCTGTGTGGACAGCACTGGACTCTGGGGAGGCATGTTTTCCATGGAAAGGACTGCTCTGTTCCTCATTAGCTTTCTAATTCGTCAGGCGGGGAATAGGGAATTCTGGGACATGAAAGCTCAGCCTGGTGGGACAAGGCCTGACCTGGAGCATGGGTCACTGGGCAGCATGGCGAGGGTTCACGTCACTGCTGTGCCCTCTGAGGGACTCCCAGTCACCCCACCTCCAGCCCTGAAAGTCTCTAGCCCTTCTCAGTCTTCTGGTTGCTTCTTGCCCAGGAGGCAGGAGGGGTGGTTAAAGGCCGCAGAATCAGCATACAGACAGAGACAAAGGACACAGTCGCCCCGCCCTGCCCCCCCCCTCCATATACCACCCATTCCGGATTACTTGTATTACCCACAAGCTTCTTTTAAGATGCAAATTTCCCCAGAGAGTTAAGTCAGGCCTACCTTGCTGTGCATGTTTAATCAAATTGTTTTATTCCCAGAGGGAGAACATCAGCGCTCCCCTCCTCCCCGACTATCTCCTCAGCAAACACTTTTTTTTGAGGATCCGCCCCCCCCCCCCCCCACGCCAGTGCTTGGGCTGGAGAGGCAGATTAAAAAGGCCTGCCTGCTCCACAGCCTTAAGTCAGGCACAGGCTAGTGGGGAAACATGACAGTCACAACATAGAGCGACAGTCGGTCACAACACCATGCAACAGGCGTGGGGGCTCTGGAAACACGGAGGCGGAGGAACACCCAGCCCAGCCTTAGGGAGGTAGAAAAGGCCAGGAATTGGTGCGTTTGATGCCAGATCTGGGTCCTGACAGACAGATAGGAGTTTGTCTAGATGAGGGGGAGGCGGGAGGGGGAGGAAGACTTTCCCAGGCAGGCAGATCCGTCAGTACAATGCCCTGGGGATATAAGAGAACATTATGCATGGAAAGAAATGCAAATAGTTCTGCATAAGCAAGTACAGAGAGTGCAAGACACATGCCTCAGGAGGGGGGCACGAGAGAAAGCCAGAGAAGCTGGCAGGAGCCGGTTCCTGGGGCACCTCGTGTGCCGTGGAGAGGGGTCATACTTCATCCTGTGGGCATCAAGAAGGCATTGAAGGATTTAAGCAGGCGGCTGACATGATTGAACTTCTGTTTGAGGCTGCTACCCTTAACAGCAGTGGGGAGGGGTTGAGGGAAAAGAGTATGGGTAGGTCAGAGAGGAAGTTAGGAGGTCCAATCAAGGTGACGTGGTGGCTGATGGCGCTCAGGTGAGAGAATGAGGGGGAAGCCCGGCGTGATACAGGTTTCTGGCTCAAAGGCCTGGGGAAGCTGGTACCACTGAGAGAGACTTTTCCATGAGGGGATGGCAGAGGAAGAACAGGCTTGAGGCTTAGGGGTGCTCAGGATTAAAGGCATCGTTGGGACCCCTGGCTGGGGATGGCCAGTACCAAGGCAGCAGCAGGGGATCTCAGGACAGACGTATAGATAAGGTGGGACGTCCGAGCTGGGGGGAAGGTGTTGGAATTATCCTGAGAACAAAATGACTAAGCTGGGTTTTTAAGGCACAAGGATCAGGAGGTCAGAGGAAGGTTTAGAAAGGGACACGGGATGACTAGAGGCAAGAGTTGTCCAAACTGGAACCTTCCTGCCATTTTTCTGAGGGTCTCCTCACACACCCGGTGTGGCTTGCTGACGAGCCTGACTAGTGCCCGTCCTAAGATGTTGACACTCCTTCCTGAGAACACAGGTTTGCTTTTCCTGTGCAACTCAGGCTTCTCACGTGTCTGCATGGGTTGTTTCCACAGGGCTCTGCAATTCAGGCAAAGCTCCAGTATCTTCGAATTCTGAATGAACTTCCAACATTCACGGGCGTTTTGTTCAACACTGTGGGCCTGGTCAGTGAGGGCCGTGGTGGGGGAGGGAGTCCCTTGTGTGCGCTTGGGCTTGGGTGGAGGGCAGGAGGGACTCCACTAGAGCTTTAGGGTGGCATTCTCTGTCAGCAAATATTTCTAAAGACCTTCCTCTTCTTCCTCTTTCTCCCTTTCCCTTCCCATGGTGCTCCAGTCCCGCCTCTGGTAAAATGGTCAAGTAGGAGGCCGTATTTGTTTTCAGTATCCCTCCATGACCCGTCTGGGTCCCCTTTCCTTGATTTCAGGGGTCAGCAAACTTGTTGCATAAAGAGCTAGATGGTACATATTTTAGGCTTTGCAGGCCATGCGGGTCTCTGTCACAACTATTTAGTGCCCTTATAGCGTGAGAACAGTTATAGACGATGCAGAAACAAATGAGCGTGGCTGTATTCCAGTATCTCTTTATTTATGGACACTGAAATTTGAATTTCGTGTGATTTTCACATGTCACAAAACATGGTTCTTTTTCCAACCATTTAGAAATGTAAAAATCATTCTCAGAGTGTGGGCCGTATAAAAGCTGGTGTTGGATTGGATTTGGCCCGTGGGCCAGAGTTTGCCAACCCCTGCCCTACCCCATTGGCTTTCCCCCTGCCCCTGCAGCCCCCACCCCCACCCCAGGCTTTCTGAGTCTGCATACTCCCCCCTTCCTGCCCAGGGCCTCCACTGTAGTAACACCCCTCCCTGACGGTGCACAGCTGATCCCCCTAAACCTGTGCCCCAGGCTAGTTCACCCTAGTGAGCTACCGTGAAAGGAAATTCAAATCATCTTGCTGACTGGATCCAGGTGCTTGTCATGCTCTGGGGAACACGCTGTCATGCTCCTGGGGCACACTGATGGGAAGCCGCTTAGCAAAGTGTCTATAGCAGACCCACAGAGGTTCCTTGGGGAGATGCGAATGCCAGGAAATGGGCCAGCAGAGGGCTCAGGCTTGATGGTGCTCAGGAGCCTGTCGGGCCACCTAAGGGAATCCGGTCCACCAGGAGCAGAGGGAGGTATTTACATACTGGGACTTGCAGATCCCTGAAAGCCTACTCCCCTCCCTCCACCCCTGCGCACCCCCCTGCCAGGGCTGAAATTCTGATAGGCCATTCCTTTGGGTTAAGACTGCTATTTTTCAGGGATGCCAGGGTGGCTCAGTCAGTTCAGCAGCTGCCTTTGGCTCAGATCATGATCCCAGGGTCCCGGGATCAAGTCCCGCATTGGGCTCCCTGCTCAGCGGGGAGTCTGCTTCTCCCTCTGCCTGCAGCTCCCCCTGCTTGTTCTCTCTCTCTCTTTCTCTCTGGCATATAAATAAAATCTTTAAAAAAATAAAATAAATACTAAAAAAAAAAAAAAAAAAGACTGCTGTTTTGCCAAAGAGCAAATGTCGGGATTCCCCAACCCTGCTCTTAAGCACCCAATCAACTCCCAACACCTGAGGCAGAGTGACTGTTTAGCTTTTGGCACCAGGTGAGGAGTGCAAGTTTCAGTGGCTCTTGAGCCCGAGGAAGTAAAGACCAGACACAAGATGCCACCTGTTCAGGCAGAGCACTGGGGGTCACCGAGTGACCCGCAGCAACAAATGGAAAGTTCCTGGGGCTTGGTGGGGAAAGGATGCTGCAGAGCTTTAAAACAGAAACGTCCCCTACATCACGATTTTGCTGGAGCCAGCCCTGCCACTGCCCACCTCACTCAGCCTGTTGCTGAGGCTAAGGTGTCCCCTGAGACCAGTGGGAACAGGAGCATCCCAGACCACTTTCCCCTCACGGTTGTCCCCCTGCCCTGGCACTAAGCCCTTGATGTTTCCAGACCTGCCAGCAGAACCAATTCAATGCCTGTTTCCTATTTCTTCCTGCTTCCTCTGCCCTTCTTTCCGTGAATACTGCCCGCTACACTTGGGGCCCAGGACGAGAAGCAGTCAGCCACCACTCTCCTGGTGGGACCCCGTCACGGCATCAGCCATGTTATTGACCTCAAAACCAACCTCACCACTGTGCTGTCCGAGTTCAGCAAGATCAGTAAGATCCAGCTGTTCCGGGAGAACCAGGGCGTGGCCCGGGTGGAGACCAGCATCATGGATGCCAAGGTAAGCCCAGCTTTGAGGAGCTCCTGCTCTCCAGGGACAGGCCTTAGGAACAGAGGAAGGAGCAGACTCGAGAAAGAGAGTTTGAGCCTTTCCAGGGGGGTCAGTGATTCTGAAGTGGTTCAGACCCTGGGCCCCTTTGGGCTCATCTTTCTTTCCTTTCTCAGCCCTGTAGGACATGCTGTCTTGGCCACATATTAAGGTCAGCCAGTGCTGGGGAAGGCTAGGAAGTGTCAGATCAACCCACAGGGGGTCTTCAGCAGAGGGCGGGGCAATTGAACTTGGAGTTGCCCCCAGGCTATGGCTTCCGGATCTTTCTTGTGTCACAGCACGCACAGAAAATGACATTCATGCAGAACAATGGGATAAATGGTCCAGCCCCAGAGACTTCAGCCTCCCCAGGCTCTGTCTAGCCAACCCAGAGGCTGAAGGGATATGTGCACACCAGTTGGGGAGCCCTGCCATAGGCATAGACACTTGGAATCATGGAGGAGGGGGTGCCTGAACATGTGGACAGACCCAAGGAGGCCTAGGGAGATGGGGAACAGGCAGGACCTAGTCCACATTTTACCTCCCAGAGTCCAGCTCTTCCAGAATCTTAGAGCCTTTCCCATAGATTGGCTCCTTCAGACTGGCAAGCACCTGTTACCCGTGCAGAGTCTGACAGCCATGGTCAGCCAGCCCCCTGGCTCTCCTGTTGAACACCCAGTAACCAGTGCGGCGGGGGCAGGCTTGCTTGCCAGCTGGCGGAAGCTATTAGAGGAGGGGCAATTTTCCTTTCTTAAAGGATTTCCCGGGGGAGATGTTGTTAGCAGATTAAGAGATGGAGTGCTTGCTGTTTCTAAAAGAGCAAATTATTTATTTTTGTCTTTGTGAAACCCAGAAAGCTTTAATATGTTAATTTTTCCACCTGTGATTCCCAGTATTCCCATTGGCTTAGGAACCTGCCTGGAGCTGATATCTAATTGGCTTGTGGCCACTTCCTCAACCAATGATCGCTGCCCTCCACAGATGTCGCTGGGTAAAAAGCCAGGTGGACAGGGAAGGGAGAGGAAAGACAAGAAGACATGCAGGGTAGATGTGGCTTCCTGAGAAATAAAAAGGGTTTAAAACAGGGAAAAAACTTTCTGGAGGACTCTTCTTCTATGTTGTACGAGGGATTCTCAACACTCGCTGCCCAATAGAATTTCCTTGAAAGCGTCTTAAAAATGCAGATGCCTGGGTCCTGTTTCCAGAGATTGTGATCAAATTGGTCAGGCTGCAGCCTGGGCATCAGGGTTTATTTACTTTTCAGTTCCCCAAGTGATTCTGTAGTATAGCCAGATTTGAGAACCACCGACCTCTGTGTCCAGAGCTCTGGGAGGAACCAAGCTGAGCAGGGTCCGTGGGTATTGACTGAGTGGGGAGCACTATTCTCATTTCTAGGGGCGATCCAGCCACAGGTGTGGGCATGAATGCTGCCCAGGAGAGACCACAGTCTTACTGGGGAGGCTAGACTCACAAAGACACACAACCTGCCTTAATAACACAATATCAGAACATGTATGGAGCTCTGGAATCCGACAGATCAGGTTCAAGTCCCCGTTCTACCACTTCCTAGCTGTGTGGCCTTGAAAAAGGGACTTAACTTCTCTGAACACTGATTTCCTCAACTGCGCAATGGAATGCCTATCTCAAAAGGTGGTTGTTCAGGATTAAATGAGAAAATGTAGGCAAAAAGTCTTAGCACAGTGCCTGATACATAGTAAGTACTAAACAAATGAGAGCTGTTATTTTTTGAAAAGCAAAACAGCGATGAAGAAAAGTTAACATGAAGTAAATTTTGCAGGTGAGTACGGTGCAGAACATGGAACCAAAGAACGGGAAGGGGTTAACCAGAACTGGCTTCCCACAAGAGCATGTTTTAAGCTGGATCTTGAAGTGATAGGCACAGATTAGCAGAGAGAAGTGGGATTGTGTTCACAGGCAGAGAGCAAGCACGGAAGTAAGCAAGCCATATGTGCAGGTCGATAAGCATAGCTGCTTGGCTGGAGAGGAAAATAACGAGAAAGAAGATTGGAGAGATTGAGGGTGGGCAGAACAAGCTGGCTAAAAGCTTCGAAGGCAAGGCTAGTGTGAAGCCAGGGAGGCGAGGAGGGGATCGTGGCCCTAGCACAAAGGCAAAGAGACGAGGGCATGGCCTGAGCTGGAGGGACAGCAGTGGTCAGGAGAAAGAGCCAGTGTGAAACATACAGACTCACCAAGCGCGTGCGTGTGAATGCCCACACACGTTCCCCTCTTGCACATACAGCACACATGTCTTATTATAGCTAACCCTTACTGCCTGCTGCCTGGATCCTGGGTACACTGAAGACCAGGGCTATGCACACAGCACACGGAGGGTCCAAACTGCAGGTGGGTGGAGAGGTGAGAGACTGCGTTCCGGGATAAACGGGACATGGCATTGGTGAGTGGAGGGGGTAGGAGAGGATTGCACTCTGCTGAGTGGGAAATAGCACATGGTTAGGTAGGCGATGCAACTGCCAGGTGGTAGATAGTTCTGGTATGCCCACTTGAAGCAGGCGATACGGTGCATATGAAAAACCACAGGAGAATTATCCATTTTGCATTAGAATGTTTCTGCTAGGCAGAATAGGGGCCCCTCCCAAAGATACCTGCTCCCTGATCCCCAGAACCCGTAAATATGCCATGTGATATGGCAGAGGACAATTAGGGTTGCAGATGGAATTAATCAGCTGACCTTAAGATAGGGAGATTATCCTGGATTATCCAGGTGAGCCTGGTGTCATCACAAGGGTCCTTATAAGTAGAAGAGGGTGGTAGAAGAGAAGGTTGATGAGAAGGTCAAAGTAACGGGAGATGAGAAGGACTCTGCCTGACCTTTTTTGCCTCGAAGATGGAGGAAGGGGCCATGAGTCAAGGAATGTGGGTGGCCTGCAGAAGGGAAGCAGCCCTGTCTATCCTTGATTTTAGCCCAGTGACACTCGAGTCAGCCTTCTGACCTCCAGAAGTGTAAGAGAACAGATGTGTATTGTTTAAGCCTCTAAATTTGTGTTGATTTGTTACAGAAGCAACAGGAAACTAACATAACCGTGAGATTCCTTCAAGTAGGAAACTCTCATCCCCTACATTAAAGATAGGATTCAACTGAGAAATGTGCTGCTCATCCCCAAGTTTTGTTACATTAGATCGGATGCATCTAGAATCAGAGATGTCTGCTGTGTGTATCACTACAAGGCGGTGCCCTATGAAATGGACAGGATGGTATTTATACTTTTCGCAGATAAATCAGCAGAGATAGGATCGATGATACGGTGATGGGAGAAAAAGAGGAAGATTGAGGGAGAAAAAAAAAAGATCCAGGCTTCCATCCGAAGGTCATTTAGTATGAACTCAGCGTTGCTAGGAAGCAGGCTAAACCCAATGGGAGGTACAAGCATGAAACGAAAAGAAAACATGGCTTCTGGCCCTCAAGAAGCTCTCTGTGCTGTAGGAAAGAAGTGTGCCAATACGTGGCCTTCCTAAAGAGGGCGCCAGAGAGGAGGTGCCAAGAGCATATCAGGATACAGAGGAGGGCAAAATTAATTCTGGCTCAGGGATTAAGGAAGCTTCCTGGAGGCACTCCGTATCAGCAGTATCTGTGTTTACTGAGTGGTGCCTCTCTCCATATATGTGAACAAAGGGAAGGATTTGAGAGGGGGCGGGGTCTGGGAAATTGGCAAACAATACACATCAGAACTCCATAGAACTGCTTGTTTAATGTTTCCCAGCATGCCACTGTATAAGGTATCCTGAAAAAAGAATGTCTGAATTCCCTTAACGAAGAGCATGGAAGTTAAAAACCGGACTTGGGCTCATTTCCTCCTAGATATGCCACACTGGCCTGGGAATATTCTGGAAGGGCCTGGTGAAGCTAAGATTTCTCACTCAGAGCTCTGACTGCACATTAGAATCATGTTTGGAGATTTAAAAACTACCGGTTGCCTGGGCCCTTCCTTTCAGACCTTTTAAACCAGAATGTTGGGGGGTGAGGCTGGGGTATATAGGTTTTTCCAGCTTCCCAGGGAATCGTAATATGTGTCTGGCCTGAGAAACACTGCCTTAAAGTGATATTCTGCCTTGTTTCCAAATTGGCTGGTTATGCCCAGTTAGCCTTCCCCAGGGCCGTGGAGGCAAGACCCCAAATGTACTGGTTCCCTGGGACCCAAGAACAATTGCCTTGTACCCTTGCCCTTCTGTGTCCCTGGAGTCCCATCTTTTTCCAATTTTCAGAGATGCTGGAGTGCACTGAGGCTACCCCAAGGCCAGTCCCCTCCCTAGTTGGCATCCCAGAGTGCAGGATGCCTGCGAGCTCCCAACACACTCTGAACACCCCGGGAAGGAGATGGGCTGGGGCATAGCAAATTAATCCCTGCTCTACTTTCTCATGGATGGCCATGCCTCCAACCCCATCCCCCTTTTACCCTTTAATGTTGGAAGATGGCCTGGGCATATTTAGTTATGGTTTTCACTCTGCTTACTTGCTCTTAGTGGATTGAGCGTGAGGCAGTATGCAAATCTCTCCAAGAGACAGCAGTCTGGGACTGAGACGCCACTGGGCCATTACCATACCCTATTACCACAGAAGCACATAAGGGGGAAAAGAAATCATCAAAGGAATGTCCCAAGGGATCTCTCGTGGCCCGGTGTGTCTCCTGCTCTCATGTTTGAGCTTTATTGCTCTAGTGCTTTCTGTAGGGACAAGCATTACATTAGACGTCACGATCATTAAAATCCTATTTAAAATAAAATGTCTTTGAAGGTTTCTAAGAAAACCTATCCAACCTCTTTGGTGGCCTGCCTTTGATTTGATTTTTACCTCTGCTGGCGAAAAGCACATCTGTGTTCCTTTGACAAGTTCCTTTTGGCCCATGCTGGGGTGCTCAGTTGGCCATGTGGGCATGCAGAGGACAGACTCCCGATGTGCTGGGCTGAGCCAGCTGGGGATGCACCTGGCCCTCTCTGTGCACAGGATTTTTTGCCTTCGTGCTGTTTCATTACCCACATCAGGCTGTATTTAGGGTAAGAGAAAAGGAGGGGAGACTGAAGCAAAGTCAGACAGGTCAATTGGCCAGCTTGTCACTCTGCCTCTGATCTGTCCATTGGCCAGCCAGCCAGCCAGGCAGCTAACCAGTCAGGGTGTCAGGCTATTAGGCATTCTGCCTGTCCTGCAGCCAGCCTGTCAGCCAGGGCACCAGTGAATCAGACTGCTCCTTAGCCAGTGAGCCAGTCCATCTGTCCATCAGTCGGTCAAACCAGTCAGCCTGTACTTTGGTCAAATGGAATGTCATTCTAGTCGTCAGCCAAGGTCCTTTCCTCAGAGAAGCTCTCTCCAGCTTCCAAACCCAAATTAGTCACACGAGCACACGTTCACACCCACCTACCCACACACTGATCCACAACATTCTATGTTCTGATAACTCTCTCTACTTTCCCTTCATAGCGCTTATCACACCTTCCACTCATATTCATTTGTATGGTTATTTGGTTTCTGTCTTATTTCCTGTTAGATTGTAAGTTCCATGAGGGCATCTCTGTTCTGGGATGAATGTTTGTTACCTACCAGAGGGTCATGTTGTCCACGAGCTATCCCACCAGCACGTAGCAGATCACTGGGGGGTGGGGGGGCAGAGTGGGCCGCAGGGGCATTTCAGCCAGAGAGAAGAGCGTGAGTTAAGATATGAAGTGGTCAAAGAACATGGCATCTCTGGAAAACTGTAAATGCTATGTCCTTGCTGGAGCCCAAGGAGAGGGGCAGGGGATGGGAGGAGGGCACAGGCAAGCTAGTGGGAGATATGCTTGGAGCTGTAGGTCAAGTCCAGGTCCTAAAGGCTTTATATGACATGAGAAGACAATAGGTTTCAGGTGATGAGATACTGGGCATTTTACATGAGAGTCTTATTTTAGAACCTCGGGCAGCAATATGGAGGTGGAGTGGAGTGACGTGGGTAGAGACTGGAGGCAGGAAGGCCGATCAGGAGGCTACTGGGAGTCCTGAGGTCAGTGTGTCCTCACCTTTTCCACGTCGTGAAAAATGCCACAATGTGTATGACCCACTAGAATCAACAGATGAGGTAGCTTGGGGCCAGAGGCAACAGGGGCTCGAGATCTCAGCCCACTTGTCACCCATTCACACATACCTTGAGAAGTTTGGGTATTGGAGGAAGACAATGAGGGCGTGAAGTAAAGCAGTGGCAGCAGGAGTGGCCATGATGTCGGCGAATGCTCCTGAGGCAAGCCTAGTGAGTCTTGGGTCCTCCTAGTGATGGTGGTAGCAGCTATCCACACCCAGACCTCCGTGTACCCTTCTGTCATTAATGGCAAGGGGGCAAGGCCCTCTCCCCCTCCCCATTCCCATTCCCCTTCTGTCTCTCCTTTGCTGTACACAAGGTTGACCATTCTGTTGTGACTGAGAAGCATCCATTCACTAGAGGTACAAACACCCCCTCTGCCCCTTCCTAATAATGACCCAAAGGGTGTGTTAACTAACTGGAATTAAAATAAAAACTTAAAAAAAATGACCCAAAAGTAACATCTCGTCCCTGGTCCCCTTCTCACTGGAGAAAGGAGCCAGCGGCTCCTCGGGGTACAGATGGTCCCTTTTCTTCCTGATGGTATTGAGTGAGCTCCACAGGAGTATCATCAACTCATAGCCTGTGGGGTGGAATCCAAATGCCTTACCGTGGCTGGCAGTGTCATTGGATATAGAATAACTAAACAATTCAAGATAGGATTTGAGCCAGCACAAGCCCGTGTGATAGAGACACAGCACTGAGGTAGGAAGAGTTTGAGAGGGAAGAGGCTGAGGATGGTGATTCTTGGGAGGCTGCACAAGAAGAGCAAGCGTGAGAGATGGAAATGGTCAGGGACTACAGAACCAGAACCTAGTGTCACCTCATGGAAACAGAAGCGAGGAAAAGAATTTCCAAAGGAGAAGGGGATCAGTGTTGGCAAATGAAACAAGCTGAAAGGTGTGAAAATGAATATGAACAATTGTGTTGGGCTGGAAAGAAGCTTCTCTCCTAGATCAAACCAGACCTGACCCCCTGCTTGTTTCTGTGAATAAGGTTTTCTTAGACCCCCGTCACACCCACTGTTTAGCTCACAGATTATCTATGGCTGCTTTCACGTTGCGATGGCAGAGTTACTGCGACAGAGTGTGTGGCCCACAAGGCCTAAAGTATTTGCTGCCTAGCCCTTTTCAGAAAAAGTTTGCCAGCCCCTGGTCTGGATGAATACAAAATAGTCGACCCGAGCTATGTGTCAGGATCCTGGGAGATAGCAAGGGGACTTGGGCAACTGTATTTAAAAGGTGAGCTGGTTTGGATTCAGAATTTGTTCCCCGGGTGATGATCCAGGCCAAGAAGGCTAGTCTAGTTGGTGACCAAGTTCAACCAAATTTTCCACAGTGTTCCTTTTACTGCCCCTACCCTCATGGATGCCCTCATCACGTCTCATCTGGACTGTAGCAGTAGCTACTTCACTGGTCAGGGAAGGGATTCATTCCATCTTAATTCTTTTAGCTCTTAATGGGTGGTCTGGGAACCCCCAAAAGTCAAGGTGAGTCATGGACCCATGGCTTCCTCTTCAGCCAGTCTCCATTGTCTTTCTCTGAAGGCCACTGCCCTGTCCCAGGGGGAATGCTCCCATGGCTGACTTCAGTCTAACCCAGACTTCTTGTCAAAATCACGATACAGATATTGGGAAGGTTTCTTGAAAAGGTATTGATTTGGGGGGGGGGGTTCCTATCTTTTTTTGGTATATCGGTGCCAAGTCACTGAGACAGTCAACCAGCTAACCCCAGGATTAATTTGACTGATTTAGGGTCAAGAACAAAAGTCAACAGAGTATGTTAGCATTTCCTAAAGTAGGTTAAAAAAAAAGCTACACCCTACTACCATGAGATTTTCTATGAAAATAGATGGTTCTGGTCAAATAATTTGGAAATGTTGGAATCCTAAAACCCCCCTGTTAACATTTCACAGTGCACATTCATATGTGAAAGCGTCTGAGAGTTCCCATAAGTACAAGTCTCTGCATAGCTTTGTTTGACCCAGTGTTTCACACATGTATTGGACCAAGGAACTGTTTCAGGGGACACCAACTAACTTCTCGAGGACACTTTAGGAAAGGGGGGGCATGGAGGTCTGAGCAGAGCTACAGGCCAGAAAGAACTGGGCCCAGAAGGCACAGTGAGGATTTTGTTGCTTGGAGTGTCCATGTCCTGGGAGCCATTCTGGGTACTAGGCGGAGAGGGCTATAGAGATGAGCAAGAGATAGTTTGTGGGTTCAGGAACTTTCTATCAGGGATGTTCCCCAGTCCAGCCAGGACTCCCAGGTTCACCCCACCTCTCCCAGCTGGCGCGTGCATCTGCCGGGCTCCAGTGAACACAAATACAGCCACGCAGCAGTCCCATGATATTATATAATTTTAATCTTTTCTCTGTAAAAGTAGTTCATTAAATGTGTAATTAAAGGTTGATTTAATTTTGATACCTGGGTATGAGTTCACTATAAATAAACTCTCAAACCAGAAGAAATGGTCTGTCAGTCCATGCGCCTCAATTTTTGGTTCAGAAAGTAGGATTCCTGTCCCTCTGCAAGGCATCTTTTCACTGTTGTCCTCTTTTTTTTTTTTTTTAGATTTTATTTATTTATTTTTAGATTATTTTATTTTTTTTAGATTTTATTTATTTATTTGACAAAGAGAGCACAAGCAGGGGGGAGCGACAGGCAGAGGCAGAGGGAGAAGCAGGCTCCCCACTGAGCAGGGAGCCCGATGTGGGGCTTGATCCCAGGACCCCGGGATCATGACCTGAGCTGAAGGCAGACGCTTAACCGACTGACCCACCCAGGCACCCCACAGTCGTCCTCCTGGACGTGCACCTCCTCCCCTCCTTCTCACATTCTCATGGTTCTTCTTGTCTCTCCCCCAGCCTCTGGTGCTGTTGATGGAGTGGCCCGAAGCCACCAACTTTGCCTGCCTGATCGCAGGGTACTGCCGTCTCCTGCTGGACTCCAGGAAGATGGTCTTTTCCAGGCCTGCCAGCCAGCCTCTTCCACCTCCAATGATCAAGGCAGGTAGGGCTCAGCCTCAGTTTTCAGTATGCCGGAAGCCCTTGGGACCCTGGAGCCAGGGAGGGAGGAGCTCTGCTGCTCTAGTGCTTACCCCATTCCCCCAGCACCCCGGTTTCCCAGGAGCCAGCGAGGTACCGCTGGGTACTACCTGGCACAAGCCGGTGGGAAAGACAGCTGGCCTTCAGATGGGCCTGTCCCACAAAGGATGCCTGTGAGAACACATGGCGATCGAGTCAGTGAATGAATGTAAGATAAGAACAGCAAATAAGCAATAAGTAGAACCAGTTGGAGAACTGCATTAGATCTAAGGCACAGCACAGTGATCTAGGAGAGACGCATGGGCGTTCTGGCTTTGTGGAAGGTGGAGGTTGAAAGTGAAGATAAAATCTTTCTCTTGTTCATCGTAATGGGGATTGACAGAGCTGCCTGAAGTTAAGAGGCCGTGGAAGCCTGATATAGGAAAGATTGTGCAGGCGCAGAGTATAGTCCAGTGGGAGGCTTAGGGATACGAGAGGATGACCACCAAGAACGAGGTCAAGTGCGGCCCCCAACCTGAGGCTTCCCCCTTAGGCAACTCTGTGCAGCCACCCCTCGGAGCTGTCCTGGTGCTGGCGCAAGCAGGGGCCTGAGGAAAGATCAGCCCAGTCCAGATCCTGTCGCCCCGAACCAAAGCAGGAGACCTGAAGAGCAGGGGCTTCACATACTAGACCTAAGCCTCACGTACACGCAGGAAATGCCTCCCTCCAGCCCAGCACCCAAACGTCATGGCGGAAGCTGAGACTTCCTACCCCGCAGTCGCCCTCCTTACCTGCCAAAGCCTCGCCCTCCACTTGCCTGGCAGCTCGGCCATTTCTTCTCTCTTCAAAGCTGCACCTCATTGTCTCTTCATCACAAACACCATGACAAGCCCATGCGTACATCTCCTAACATTGTCCACAGGACGTAGAAGGCAATCTACCAAACATAGACTGGGGAGAGGACAGGTGGCCCAAAGGACAGGTGGCCCCGAGGCATAGACAGGGGCTCTACATAGAGAAGCAAAGGAACTGACTAGAAATAGGAAGAAGCCAGGAGGCCGAGTTGCCACACGTCCCCAGGTGAATAGCTCCAAAGCGGATGGCCATAGGTGTTACTAAGCCTACGGATGGCCAGTGACAGCCAAGCCCGTGTTAGCTTTGTCATTGTCCCTTCTGTTCCTCTCTGTCATCACAGCCAAGTCAATGATGCCTTTTACTGAGCAGGATAGGGAGAGAGAAAGGGAGAAGGAAAGGCAGAAGAAGGAGCCTGGAGCCCAGCCGAGAACCAGATGTGGAAGTGAGGGCTCTTTGGGGGGGGGGGGGTGTCTGCTTTCTGAAGGCCCCAGAGATGGCTCTGTAGTCCCACCTACCTTCCAGAGGGTTCTGTCATCCCATCAGCACCCTGGTCAGTGCTCTTAAGTATATATATCTCTCTGTGGGGATAATGGCACCAAGTGAGGGCACAGGCTTCCTGTTTCCCTTTGGTCTCACTGAACACACCTGGGGTTGCATCCCTGTACTTCTCCAGAGGTAAATCAATTTCATGGGATTCTCTTGAAGGTATTGCAGCATGGAAAGAAGGCTTCTATAAATGCCGGGCATGGCTTCAGAGCCCCTCCCTGATTCTTGAACGTCCCCCTTGGGGCCTGCAGAGTAACAGTGGCTCGGCTGCCTCTAGCCCAGGGCCCATTTTGGTGCAGGAGCCAGAAGGACCACTGTGGTGTTCCCCTTGTTTGTTCTGCTTCGCCTCCCCAGGGGTGTGGGTCCATGCCCGGGCCCAGTACTTGGCCTTTTGAACTGTTAGCTGCTGGCTCGATGGCGACCACTAAGTGCCCTTGGTGGGTGGGGTGTGGTAAGCGTTATAGCCCTGCCGATTGGGGGCTGGCGTGCACATCTGACCCCATGGCCCCAAGAAACGGACAGGGGCACTGCAAGAAGCACACTGGGGAGCCCTCCACCCAGGTCACAGTGTGGGGCCATCAGTTCCTGGTACAAAGCTGAGATACATTTCCTCCATGGGTTCCCCCCCAACTTCCATCCCAGAAAAGAAGCCCCAGTGCCCAGTTGTTGTTTAGCAAAGATCTATAGGGAACAGGCATCCTGCCAGCCTCCTCTGAGCTTTGTCCTCAGGGCCAAAGCTCCAGCCCGCTTAAGGGCCTGATCTCTCTGTCGGGCTCTATATTCTTGTCCCACAGCAACTGCCAGCTAGCCCAACTCCATGCTCAGCTGCCATCTCTCTCCAGTATCGTGGGGGAAATCCAAGAAAAGGCGGCTTTGGGGGCCACAGTCAGAAGAACTCACTGATTTTCTCCCATGGTTAGGAAACAGCTTGGTCTGGTGAATTGAATATTCTGGTTAATGGCTACTGTATATCCCATGCGTGGCTTGCCCATTTTCATGTAGTTAAATCTCAGCAGCACACGAGAGTACTCAAGCTTGACTGAACATACGAGGTGCTTTTTTGATGATTCAGAAAGAACTTGAGGGCCTCTAAAGGCCTCTAGGTCGTCCCTTTGACCAGTCTTGATCATCAGACTATAGAGCACAGCAAAGCCAACTAATAGAAGGCTGGTTGACTCAGTGTTGCACTGACTGTGTGTGTGTGTGTGTGTGATAGAGAGCGAGTGCGCACACAAGCAGGGGGGAGCAGCAGAGGGAGAGGGAGAAGCAGACTATCCACCAAGCAAGGAGCCTGACGTGGGGCTCAATCCCAGGACCCAGGGATCATGACCTGAGCCGAAGGCAGATGTTTAATCGACTGAGCCACCCAGGTGCCCCAACTACTCAGCATTTTTGAGTATATTTAATATATTTACAGGACTGTGCAATCACCATCCTGTTCTTTGCAAGCATTTTTTTGAAAGTCAGTCTTCTGAGTGGCTGAGTACAGAGAGCTAGGCTAGGACATCCCCCTTGGGGAAAGCTGATGAGCAATTTACAGCAGATTTGCAATCCGAGAGACATACTGTTCCAGCCATCAGCCCAGCGCACCTGGCTCCCCTTGCATTTCTTTTCTTTCTTTTTTTTTTTTTTAAAGAATTTATTTATTTATTTGACAGAGAGAGAGAGATAGAGAGAGCAGGAACACAAGCAGGGGGAGCGGGAGAGGGAGAAGCAGGCTCCCCGCCGAGCAGGGAGCCCGATGCGGGGCTCGATCCCAGGACGCTGGGATCATGACCTGAGCCGAAGGCAGACGCTTAACGCCTGAGCCACCCAGGCGCCCTCCCCTTGCATTTCTAATGCATTTCTAACCTTACGTCTGGAGGAGATTTGGGCTTTTCCAGACATATTTTCTCCTCCGCACAGCACTGTACTGCTCCTCAGATCTGGAAATCACAGTACCAAGTGGTGGGCCGTGCCTCACCTGGCCTTGTCAGCCTGCTGTTCGGAAATGTTCCCACCTTGCAGGGAGGGGAGCCATCCTTAGACCCCCAGCCCTCGTCTGAGAGGAGTCACCACCTGCCTATTGGACATGCCCCCGGGAGCCACCTCTGATGGCAGCTCATTGCCAGGCTGGCTGGGCTGACTGTTCAGCTGTCTCGTAGGTAGTTAGCACCTGGGGCGTGACCCCAACCTGTGGACAGTGCCTGAGGATAGAAACCTCCAGAACTGAGAGTTCATGCTCCTGGCTTAGCATGGCCCTAGAGCACTTCTTCACTGAGGCTCAGAGGGTCGTGACGTAGTATTCCCCCAGCTGATCCAAAGTACCCTAGATCTAGATACAGCCACTAAGGCCTGAATTGAACCCATTCGACCTAATTATGTTGACTCTATATTGAAAGGGGCAACAGGGTCTATGGAAGACAGCAAGGGCTCGGAATCTGAAGGTAGAGACCATGTCTTAGCTGTGTGATCATGAACAAATTCCATAAACGGAGTCCCAGTTGCTTCATTTGTAAACTGACGATAATAGTACCTAGGTCAGGAGAGATTTGACAGGATTATGTGAGATAAACCCCATAAAGTTCTTTCAAGTGCAGAGCACATTTTTACTTCTTTCTATAATGATTGAGAGTTCACTTGGTGCCCAGTGCCGTGCTTTTTTTCTTAAATAAACAGCTTTTCTTTTAAAGATTATTTCTTTACTTATTTAGAGAGAGGAGCACGAGTGGGGGGAGGTGCAGAGGGGGGAGGGAAAGAGAAAATCTCAAGCAGACTCTGCGCTGAGCGTGGGCCTGACGCGGGGCTCCATCCCACCACCCCGAAATCATGACCTGAGCCAAAACCAAGAGTCAGATGCCTAATCGACTGAGCCAACCAGGTGCCCCTTAAAGAAACAGCCTTATTGAGATATAATTTTAAAGCTAGAAAATTTACCCATTTAAAGTTCACAACTCAGCATTTTTTTAAAGATTTTATTTTTTTATTTGACAGAGAGAGAGATAGAGAGCGAGTGCGCACACAAGCAGGGGGGAGCAGCAGAGGGAGAGGGAGAAGCAGACTATCCACCAAGCAAGGAGCCTGACGTGGGGCTCAATCCCAGGACCCAGGGATCATGACCTGAGCCGAAGGCAGATGTTTAATCGACTGAGCCACCCAGGTGCCCCAACTACTCAGCATTTTTGAGTATATTTAATATATTTACAGGACTGTGCAATCATTGCCACAATTTAATTTTAACCTCTCCTAAAACAAACTCTGTACCCATTAGCACTCATTCCCTAGTTCCCTTCCAGTGACCACCCAGCGCTAAGCAACCATGCATGAACTGGCTGTCTGGGTCATAGCTTTGCCTGTCCTGGACATTTTGGATAAATGGAACCATACAATATACAGTCTTTTTGTGGCTTGCTTTTTTTTTTTTTTTTCCATTTAGCATAACATTTTCAAGGGCCCTCCACATTGTAGCATACATCACTACCTCATTTCTTTTTATGGCCAAATAATATTCCATTGTGCAGACAGATCGCCTTCCGTTCATCCATTCATCAGTTGATGGACAGTTGCGTTGTTTCTACCTTGTGGCTCTTATGAATAATCATGTTATAAACCTTTATGTACAAGTGTTTGTGGAGGCAGTTTTCATTTCTCTTTGGTATACAACTAGAGCGGAACTGCTAGTCAAATGGTAACTCTGTGTTTAACTTTGAGAAACTGCCGAACTGTTTCCCAAGAGGACTGCACCATTTTACATTACCATCAGCAATGTCGAAGGATTCAATTTCACCGTAACCTCACCAATGCTTGTTATTGTCCATCTTTCTTTCTTTCTTTCTTTTTTTTTTTTGAACATCCATTGTAGTGGATGTGAACTGGTATCTCATGGTTTTGATTTGCCTCATCATAGCTGATGGTGTTGAACATCTTTGCATGTGCTTATTCGGCATTCGTATATCGTCTTTCATGAACTGTCTATTCAAATCCTAGGCCCATTTTTAAATTGGGCTCTTTGAGCATAAACATGAGGGTTTATTTTCTGGACTCTCAATTCTATTCCTTTGACCTATGCATCTATCCTTAAGTCAGTACCACACCGTTTTGATTACCATTGCTTTGTATTAAGTTTTGCAATCAGAAAGTGTGGGTCCTCCTACTTTGTTCTTTTTTAAGATTGTTCCAGTTATTCCGTGTCCTTTGTGATTCCATATGGATTTTTTAATTACCTTGTCAATTATTACAAAGTCAGTTGGTATTCTGATAAGGACTGTGTTGAATCTGTAGATCAATTTGGGAAATACTGCCATGTTGGAATGGAAGACACACAAGACTGGATCTTCCAATCCATGAATACAGAATGTCTTTTCATTTATTTAAATCTTCTTTAATTTCTTTCAGAAATGCTTACAGCTTCCATTGTACAAGTCTTGCACTACTTTTGTTGAATTTATACCTAAGTATTTTATTCCTTTTGGTGCTATTGTAAATAGAATGTTTCCTAATTTCATTAGCAGATTGTTCATTGGTACTGTATAACAATGCAATTAATTTTTGTATTGTCCTTTACTGTGCAACCTTGCTGAGCTTATTAGCTCGAATAATTTATTTGTGGTTTCCTTGGGATTTTTTTTCTGTACAAGATCATGTCATCTGCACATAGAGATAGTTTTACTTTTCCTTTCTAATCTGGATGCCTTAGATTTCATTTTATTGTCTAATTGTCCTGGTTAGATCTTCTAGTACGGTGTTGAATAGAAGTGTTAAGAAAAGAAATCCTGGGCTTTTTCATGAGGAAAGTTTTCAGTCTTTCACCATCAGGTATGTTTGCTATGGGTTTTTCATAGATAATATTTATCATATTCAGAAAGTTCCCTTTTATTTCTAACTTTTTGAGTTTTATCATGAAAGGGTGGTAGCTTTTGCCAAATTATTTTTCCAAGTCTATTGAGATGATCATATGGTTTTCTTGTCCCCCATTCTATTAACATGGTGTATTACATTAATAGATTTTTGGATGTTAAACCAACCTTGTGTTCATGTAATAAATCCCATTTGGTGTATAATACTTTTTATACTTTCCTGGATTCAGATTGCTAGTATTTTGTTGAGGAACTTTGTATCTATACTTATAAGAAATATTGCTCTGTAGTTTTCTTGTGATGTTTTGTCTGGTTTTGGAACCAGGGTAATACTTATAGAATGAGTTGTGAAGTGTTCCCTCCTCTTCTGTTTTTTGGAAGGGTTTGTGAAGGATTTGTTTAAGTGCTTTGAGCATTTAGCACAATTCACCAGTGAAGCCATTTGGGCCTGAGTTTTATTTTTAGTGGGGGCGGGGTGGGTACTGTTAATTACTAATTCAGTTTCTTTTCTTGCTATCGACCTATTCAGGTTTTCTATCTTCTTGAGTCAGTTTTGATCATATATTTCTAGGTATCTGTCCATTTCATCAAGGTTATCTAGTGTTTTTTAGTATAAGCTTATTTATAATAATCCCTTATAATCAAGTCCCTATCAGTAGAGTCAGTAGTGATGGTCCTTCTTTCGTTTCTGATTTTAGAAATTTGAATCTTCTCTTTTTTTTTTTTTTGCTTGGTCTCTACAGCTATATGTTTGTCAATTTTATTGATCTTTTCAAAGAACCAACTTTTGGGGTGCCTGGGTGGCTCAGTCAGTTGAGCGTCCGACTCTTGATTTGAGCTCAGGTCGTGATCTCAGGGTCGTGAGGTCGAGCCCCGCATCAGGCTCCACACTGAGCATGGAGCCTGCATGCAATTTTCTCTCTCCATCTCCCTCTCCCTCTGCCCCTCCCCCCACTCACAGGCACATGCACACTCTCTCTCTCAAAAAAAAAGAAGCAACTTTTAGTTTCGTTGATTTTCTATTGTTTTTCTGTCTCTATACTTTACTATTTCTTCTCTTCTGCTTACTTTGGGTTTAGTTTGGTCCTCTTTTTCAAGTCTCTTAAGGTGGAAGGTTAGGTTATTGATGTGAAATCTCTTCCTTTTTAATGTATGTGTTTATAGCTATAAATTTGTCTCTAAACACTAATTTAGCTAGACCCCATAAATTTGTGTATGTTGTATCTTCATTTTCATTCATCTCAAAATATTTTCTAATTTCCCTTGTGATTTCTTCTTTGAACCATTGGTTATTTAGAGATGTTTGATTTAATTTCCACATACTTGTGAGTTCCCCAAATTTCTTTCTGTTATTGATTTCTAATTCCATTGTGCTCAAAAAAACACATATTTTGTATGATTTCATTTCTTTTAAATTTACTGAGGCTCATTTTATGACCTACTATATGGTCTATCTTAGAGAACGTTCCAGATGCCCTTGAGAAGAATGTATATTCTGCTGTTGGTAGGTGGCATGTTCTAATAGACTTTTGTGACTACTTAGTGTCTACTTAGTTTATAGTTATTCAGGTCCTTTATCTCCTTGTTTATCCTCTGTTTAGTTGTTCCATCCATTATTGAAAGTAGGTTATTGAAGTGTCCAATTAGTGCCGTTGAATTGTGTGTATTTCTCCTTTTGATTCAGTCAGTTTCTGCTTTGTGTATTTTGGGGCTCCGCTGTGAAGTGCCAGCACCATGCTTTTGTGATGGTTGGAAGCTCTAGTGAAAAGCAACACTGACACACTGACCCCATCAAACTGGAAATCGAAAGGCATTTTGAAGTTTTGTTTTCTAGCATCTTGACTGCCATGATGAATGATAGGGTACTCATTAAAAACATGGGCTTTGTAGTCCCTCAAACCTGGGATCAAATCCAGGCCACCATTTATGACTCATGTGACCTTGGATAAGTCACATAACCGAATGGATCAGTTTCTCCCTCTGCAAAATGGGGATAGTGACTGCACCAACCTCATTGGCTTGTGGAGAGGATTAAATGGGCTCGTGTATGATGACCTTAGCCTACGTCAGTGCTTACTTGCCGTCTGTCACTCTGTCTGCTGCTAGCAAAATGAACTGGTCTTGTCTGAGTATATTCTCCCAAAGGACATGGGGAAGGGCCCCCAAAACAGTCTACGAGAGAGAAGCCATTTAGAGAGAAAGCATTTCATTTGCTATGGTTAAATCTCAGATGTACACACCTACCATCATTAAAAAGCTGTTGACTAGAACATTGTGTAGCAGGCAGGCTGGCCTTGCACGAACACAGAGAAATAAGGAGATGTGAGGAATTGGAAGAATGCTCCCCCCACCCTCCTCCCACATACGCACATCCCAGCCTACTTCCCATATACTTTACACATTCAGATGCCCAGAATACTACTAGTGGCGCTTTATTCTTCTAGGGCCGGTCCATGACAGTCCTCTTTGAAATGCGAATTCTCAGGCACCCATGGTATGTGGCCTGTTCTGCATTTTCCCACCAAGGCATGAGTAACTGGTCAGATTTATTTCCTTTTACTAGAAGAGATCCAGCAGAACCCAAGAGTAACACAGCACTGGGGGTTGGAAAGGCTCTGAGAAAGGTGGGGACAGGGGAGGGGGTGCAGGGCCAATTCCAAGGGGGACGTAAAAACAATTTTCACTTTTTTTTTTTTTTGGAAGTATGTGGACGGCTGACTTTCAGACCAGACATACACGGGTGAGAGCCCAGCTGTACCCAGATGCCAAGGTGCTCAGCCCCTCCCCCATCACCCCATGCGGTTTCCCATGGGGCTGTTCTCCTCACTCAACTTTAAGGGTTGGCAGCAACATAGCTGCCCCTTCCCCTAACCTCTAGCAGCCAGGTAATGCTCTCTGTCAGTACCTGCCATCCGGTGGCGCACCAGAAACGCCAAGGGAGCTCAGCCACGGTCTTCGGCGCCAGGGCTCATCTGTTGATTCTCTTTCTGGGTTTAGATTACATGCACAGCGCCCACCGCCCTGTCCCTGGGGGCCACCTGGGGAAAAAGGAGAGTAGTTATGTGGGCAGCATGGGCACCAGCCCCAGGAAGTCGAGCCGCTGCACGCCCCCGCCTGCCGACTCTGAGCTTGTCAGCTTTTGCTACCTCCACATGCGGGAACAAAGGAAGGAACAGGAAAGCCGGACGGACGTCAACGAGAACTTAATCTTCTTTGAGGAGACCAGGCCCCGGACCAAGTCTGACCCCACGTCCAAAAGCTCTGGCCAAGGCTACGACGTGATCCCCGATGACTTTGACGCAGCCAGCCTCGACCATGAGCCTTGCGCCAGCAGGGCCCGGTCCTACACCTTGGACAATTCCCTTGGGGCCGAAGCCCTGAATTTCTACTGTGACTCTTGCAAAGCCAAACTCCAGGAGCAGCTGGGCCCTCGAAAAGGTGGGAGGCCCGGCTCCTCTCGTGACAATATGGTAGACTTGATGTCCCTGCCACCGCCTGGGAGCGAAGAGGAAGAGGAGGAGGAAGATGAGAGCACTTCCCTGTTGCCTGCCATTGCCGCCCCCCCTCCTGGTTTCCGAGACAATAGTTCCGATGAGGATGACTCCAAGCGCCGGGCGGCCCAGAGCCAGGAACAAGGACGCCACCTGCGTGGGCTCCTGTATGATGAGATTCCAGTGACACTGATCGACAGCGTGCAGCCCCGGACAGTCCGAGATCATGCCCAGGAGCTAGATGATGCCCTGGTGTCCACTCTGCAGGCTCTGGAAGCCCTGGCAGCCTCAGAGGATGGACCGCACCCCCCACCCCCACAGACTGCAGGTAACAGCCCATTCCTCCTCCCTCTTGCCTCCCCTTCCTTCTCCTGGCCAGGCAGGGCCAGGGGGTGATATTGCTTCTTCCTGAGCAGAGGTCAAAGTCACCGTGGTGTGCCAGGGCAGTGGATGGCCAGAGGTAGCTCAGACAGGGTCAGGGGATCAATAGAGCTGCGTCAGGGCCCGGCTGCTCAGCCCCAGCTCCAGCTCTGGCTCTCACCATTCCATCTCTGGAAATGTCTTGCAGCTGGACCCCAGGGACTGGGGCCATGAACAGCCACGGAGCCAGGCCAGGATGGAGGATCAGAGTAAAATTGTGAGAGATCTAGAAGACAGGCAAAGAACCTCCAGCATGCACATGACTGGAAGAAAAAACAAAACGACCAACTAACCACCTAGTGACCTGGGATCAGGGGAGCCAGGAGCCATCACTGCTCAGGGCTGAGGTCCTTACCTTGCCTAAGAGCATGGGCTCCCAGTCAGATGCACCCAAATCCTGGCTTCTTCACTCACTTGCAGTGTGACCTTCGGCAAGGCACTTAACCCTCTCTGAGCCTCACTTTTGTCATTTTCAATGGGTCTGATAACAATAGTCATATCGCGGAGGCTTGCTGTGAGCACAAAACAAGATCATTCGCGCAAAGCACTGCCTAGCACATAGTCAGGAGTAAAGCTATTAGTATTGATCGTAAGTAGTAGCTAGTAGTAGTTATTATTTGGTGGGACGGCCATACGACGCGCATGCTGTTCCCTGTTACAGACACACGTACACCCATCGTGTAGCCAAGCACGCGTGTCAGGCTGCAGCCCTATTCACGGCACATACCTCCATACACATACACCTTAAAAAGAACGGGTAAACGCTACGGCAACAGAAAAGCAACAGGAAGAAGGTGTATGAGAAAGCGTGTGAGGCAGGAGGGACGTGTGGACAGAGAAGAGGAAGAGCTCGGGGTCAGAGGCAGCCTGGCTGACCGGGGAGAGTCCCAGCCCCTCCCTTTTCTGTTCGCAAGGGCATCCTTGGTGGTGGGCAGCCCACATGCGTTTAGCCCCCCGGGGCCAGCATTTCTCTTTGCTCAGAGTCTGGAGCGCCCAGCACTAGCTGCTCCCTGGCTAGCGAGAGGCCCCCCGTGGTCGCCAGAGAGAGGACAAGTTCAGGGACAAGGGCCTCAGCTGTAGGCAGGCCCGGCCAGATAGACAGGGGCCTCTCCCTGCCAGGCCTCTTCAGGACAATTGACAAACATTTCCTCGCTATTGAGTCTAAAAATAGTGATGATTAGCATGTCGTTCTGCATGCGCTGTGCATGTTAATTTGCCTTCAAACTGCCCAGTAGATCTCCTCTGCGCCTCTTTTGTTTCTTTTTCGGATTCCTGCCCTTCAGGAGCCCTCTGCCAGCTTGCCTCCCTCCGCTCCTCCCCTCCCTCCTCCCACCTTCAGCCCCATTACCTCCCCGCTGCCTGCCCCCTCCTCCTGGCCAGTCCCAGGACTGACCGACTGGGCTTTCTCCCTGCCTTCAAATACTGCTGGCTGCCCTTGCCTCCCCCCCACCCCGCCCCCATAAACTTTCTACATATGGCTGGCGAAAGGACTTGATTGGAGTAAGTGCAGCAAGCCCCTCTCCCTGTCCCTCCAGGTCTGATTGTGCTGGCCACAATCACCCCTGAATCATCGCTGGACTCAGGCCACGAAACCAACTCTTCGGAGCTCACAGACATGTCAGAGATGATGTCTGCCATGAAGCAGCACCAGAATACCACCTACTTCTTGGCCCAGCACCTCAACAAGGAGAGCCTCCTGGCTCGCAAGGACCTACCCTTCCGGATCCAGAGCTGCGCGGCCCAGGCTGTCCTCACGGCCCCTTACTCTCTTGGGCGCCCAGATCCCAACCCGGCCCTGCAGCCAGCTGTCACAGGCCAGAGTCCTGGCCCCCCTGGCGCTCGGAGGAAGCTGCCCCCGTCAGAATCCCAGCCACCACAGCGAGAGAGAGCATACGCCCTGGCCGTGCACCCAGCATTGTCCCCACAGCTTAGTGAGCAGAAGAATCTGAGCCTGCTGTCCCCAGTTCCTGAGGACAAAGGGCCTGGCCACACGAGGGCAGGCCTGGAGATGTCCCTGAGGGCAGCCACACCATCCCTCAGTGAAGAGCAGGTCTCTGAGCTAAGGGAGAACCTGCCCAAAGAAGTCAGGTTGAGCCCCAAGCTTATCCTGGACCCGAAGGGCAGCGTGACCCCAGCGATCATCTCGGCTGCCCTCCAGCAGGTGGTTCACCCTAAGAGCCTACCTGCCCCTGGCGGGGCCATAGTGAACCCTCCCAGCAGTGGGGAGAGAAGGCTGGAGGCCAGCATGGGGAGGCCTGAGGTCAGCATGGGAAGATCAGAAGTTAGCATGATGAGCGGCAGTGCCAGTAAGAATCTGAAGTTCAAAATGAGCCCCGGTGCTCCAGAGACCTCACGGAATTCCCAGCAGCCGCTGAGCCCAGAGGTCTCCTCTGGCTCCAGAGTGCCCACAGGCAGCCGGGCCGACAGCCTGCACCTCTCCCCACAAGAGGACCAGCTGCCTGGGCCAAGTTTCCCTCCTAAAAGCTACCTTGCACGAGCGAGTCGAGAGTCCCTGAGCAAGCCGTCTCTGGGGGAGGTGGCAGGCAAGGCCGGGCCAGAGGGCGCTAAGCCCTCCCTGCACAAGCAGGGCGCCGTCTCCAGCCAGGGGGAGAAGGGGCAGCTGGAGAGCATGCCCCAGAGCAGCAAGATCGAGGAGACCAGCCTGGTGCCCCGAGCCGGCTACTCCATGGCTCTACAGAGCCCCAGCTGCCAACCTCGAGGCCAGAGCCCGCTGAGGCCCCAGGCTGCCAGCCGGCAGGTGAGCACCATGCCCTCCAGGAAGCTTGAGACAACCCTGGACGGAGCGCACTCGGCCTCCGAAGGCCCCGCGAAGCCCAAATCCTCCCGAGGACCCTTCCGGCTACGCAATTTATTCTCTGCCACCTTCCCGACCCGCCAGAAGAAGGAGACCGATGAGCGGCAGGCCCAGCTGCAGAAGGTAAAGCAGTATGAGCTCGAGTTCCTCGAGGAACTTCTGAAGCCCCCGAGCCAGGGGGAGCTGCCAGGCACCGAGTACCTGCAGCCCCCCGCGCCGGGCCGCTGCAGCTGCCAGCTTCGGAGCAGCCCAGTGCAGCAGGGGCCGGGCATGTCCCGGGAGCAGAGGCGCAGCTGTGACTGCAAGCGCATCTGCCGGGGGGGCCGGCCTCAGGCCCCCCAGACGCCCGTGCCCGGCCTCCGGGGCCAGGAGAGGGACAGGGTCCCCCCGAGCCAGAGGCAGCCGGAGGTCGGCGCGGGCCTGAGCCTCGGCAGCCCCACCAACGAAGGGCGCCTCCGCTCCACCAGCCTGGAATCCCGGGAGTGCCGATCGGACCCCGAGAGCGGCGTTTCCTGCCTGACCACGTGTGCCTCAGGGGGGGAGTGTCTGGGAGCTCCCAACTACCGCAAGCTGATGCGCCGCTACAGTATCGGTGAACCGGACCAGGGTGACAGGGCCTCGCTGACCTCAGACATCTACCCACACCCACCCCTGGGCATGCTGCCCAGGGAGGCCAAGGAGGTAGAGGCAGGCCTCCCCCTAGGCTTGGGTCCCAAAACCAAGTCCCTGGAGTCGCCGACCCTGGGGGAGCCCTCATACGTCCAGGTTGCCCCTGAGACCAAAGGCCCCAGACAGATGGCAGTGTTCTCGCTGCCAGAAGAGGTGTACCGGAAGCCCGCCAATCTGGACGAGGACAGCGAGAGCGGCAGATGCTGCTCCATCCGCTACTGCTTCTACTACCGCAAGTGCGACATGGCGGATGACGCCAGCGACAGCAAGGACGAGCTCTCCTACTCCATCCCCATGAAGATTCTGCCCGGCATGAAGCTGGACGAGCAGGTGGTGCCCGTGGTGAGCAGGACCCTGCAGGTGCTGGATGCTGCCACCTGCAGCGGCGGCAGCCCCGAGGCCTCCCGCACCCAGGAGATCGACCTGCGGGCGTCCACCTTCGAGGGGAGCCTGGCCAAGATCAATGCCCTGCGGGCCCACGCCTATGGCCTGCCCGACGGCTTCCTGGCTGCCAGGCTGGACACCAATGAGCTGCTGACAGTCCTGCGCCAGTGCGTGGCCAGCCCCGAGGCCCGCGCCCCGAAGCCCTACGTCTCTCAGATCTCCGAGTACAAGCTCGAGCTGGCTCTCAAGTTCAAGGAGCTCCGGGCCTCCTGCCGCCGCGTGGCCAACGTGGACAAGAGCCCGACTCACATGCTGGCGGCCATCACGGGCAGCTTCCAGGTACTGAGCAGCCTCATCGAGACCTTTGTGCGGCTGGTGTTCATTGTGCGCTCCGAGGCCCAGCGCCAAGAGCTGCTGGCCAAGGTCGAAGAGGTGGTGAGGAACTACACCTTCCTACTGCGCGCCGCTGAGGAGTCCACCACCCGGAACCTTAACCAGCAGCAGCAGCCGCCGGCCGCCGCAGCGGCTGTCGGGGCGGCCTCGGGGCACCCCCCGGGCTCCCCGACTCCAGCGACTGTTATGAGCACATTCACCCGCTCCTTAAAAACCCTCATCAAGTAGGGCACCCGCCCAGGCCTGCCTCCCCCCGCCCCCCGCCCCCAACCACGGCCCCAGGTTTGAGCTTTGTGGTCTTTGCATCTTGTGGTGAGTGTGCGTGTCTGCCCGGCCAGTCGGGGTCCGAGGGCCTTCAGGCGCCAGGGAGTGGGAACTCCCCGGATTGAGGCCGTCCCCGACGGCTCCGGGCGCCTGCCACCCTGGGTATCCTCGCCCCTTCCCCGGCCTCTGGTCGTCACTGTGAGGGCCAAGGCCCCTCGTCACTGCGCCTGCCTGCCTGCCCGCCGCAGAGCTGGATTTTATCTCTTCTTTAGGGCTGACAGGTGACATCAGGCTCACCTTCCTGCTCCATTTTTGGGGGCCAGGGGAGCCGGGGCCTGAAGCAGGCAGGCCCACAGGCCTTGAGCTCCCCCCTGGCATCTGCCCCCCCATGCCACGGAGTTGTAAGCCGTAGCACCAGGGCACAGGGCCCGGCGGGCCGGGGGGGGGGGGAGGGCACTCAGCCCAGCCGTGCCCGCCCACCCTGGGCTCACACTCACGCGGCAGAAGCCACCTAGAGGGCCTGTGCCCTGGTGGCAGGTCTGCGGAGAACAGCCACCACGCAGGGCTGTCTGCGGCCACGGCCCCACAGGCTGGCGGCCTCGGGAGCCCTCGCCCCCAGGCCCAGTAGCTCCACACCAGCCATCCCCAAAGTGCCCTGTCCCTCACTGATGGGCAGGGCGGCTCAGTCCACTAGGGAGCAAGCATCTGGGATCACCCCACTCCTTCTGGGTAAGGTACCTGGTGATAAACGTCTGCCCTGGGGAGACCCGGCGCAGGCCTCGGAGCCCGCCCGGCCCAGCCCGGCCCAGCCCTGGGGCTGGCGCTCTGGGCGTGCGGTTCCTCTCTCAACATCTACCAGACAGACTGTCCTTAGGAGTTTGACTTAGCTACGGATTGGGGATGGGGGGGGTGGGGGGAGGGGGGATGGGGGTAGGGGTGGGGGGTGTTGATGACTATATCTTAAACTTCTGGAAGCTACCGTGGTATGTTAATCCTGAGTATATGCTTTTGGCTGTGTATTGACCCTGTGGATTTGTCTCTCTAAGAAAAGAAGCTGAGCGCCTTACCCGGTGCAGTCCTGCACCTCTCTCTCTCTCTCTCTCTCTCTCTTTCTCTCTCCGAAGTCATCTGGAAGGGAATTCACACTGTTTAGCATCCTCCTTGACGCACATCTACTGCTGCTGACACCCCCCACCCCCGCCAATCCCCCCCGCCCCCCACAACCTTCCTGGGAGTGAAGACACGGAGTCCCTACCAGCTGTCCCACACTGTAGGGAACAAAGAAAGCCAATGTTTATTCTGTATAGATTGCTTCTTGTCCACCTCTCCATACCTGCCCCCGTTTGCCACACGCTCACGCCCTGTGTCTGCCTCTCTTTCACCATTACGTGAAAGGTCCGCGTGAAATCTCTCATTCTTATGTGAGTTTTATAAAGATGTACACTGTGCTTAACCCCTGCCCATCCTCAGCACTACCCCCCCCAACGCAGCGCAATAAAGCCCCCTCCCCTCCCCAAGTGGCGATTTCTCCCGGCAAGGATCAGGGGAGCCCCTTCAGAGAAGCCAGCGCCCCCTCTCCTTGCTTCTCCTCCCCCCTAGGACCAAGTTGTTTAATGGGCCAGAGATGCAGCCAGTGGGGAACCCTTTCCCCCGTGACCACCGCAAGGCCCAGGGCCGTCGCGGTCTTCCTCTTCTCCCAACTTCTTGATCCTGCGCCTTCGCCACTCAGCCCCCTGCCCATGTCATTCCACCGCCATCCTTCACCTCTCCCTCAGCCTCACGGAGAGGACACATTTTCTAATGTCTGTACATAGTATATATACTACATAAAATATATAAATTATATATATATACTAATTTATGTCTTGTTTTTCAAACAAGAATGATTAAATCTATTCATCTTACTATCCCAATAAGCCTTTGCAGTGCCTCTTTGTGGGTGTCCTTGTGTCCTTGATTCGCTGGTTGGTGACGGACCCCCCCACACACACCCCGAGTGCTCTCCCTAGCTTCTGCCTGGGCCACAGTGAGTGATGAGAGCTTAGGACCCTGTCGTGCTGCCTCCCTTTGCCCCTCTTAGAAGCCTCCTGTGGGTCACGGTCACGGGAATTGAATATGGTCTACTCCTTTCTCTTGAGCCTGGCTGTGACCTCAGAGCTGAAGGGAGCGGGGAGGGGTTGGGAGGTGGGGGTGGGGGGTGGTTTGCAGAAACACAATGCACCCCGTGCATAGTGCATAGTACACTGGATGGCCTGGGAGGTAGGGGACAGACAGGGTAGGGGACAGCTCTCTGGGTGGAACTGGGAAATGGGGCCTCTCCCTCTGAAACATGCCCAGTTGCCTCAGAGTATAGCTTGGCTGGTGTGAATCCCCTGCAATGCCCTCTGGTGATTTTTGGGGGGGGGGGTTCAAAAGGATAGGAGCAGCAGGACCCTAAGCAGGGCTGGCCTCTCTGGCTTTATATCGAATGGAGAGAAATGATTTTGCTTCTCCCGTTCTCTTATTTTCTTCTGGTAATCACAGGTCCCCACGGGCATATGAGGCACCCTCATGCCAACTAGATAAATGTTCTTCCTGCCACGCACCCCCCTGTGATAAATTAGAAAGAAAATCATTCTCTGGGTGACACATGGGCACCTGTGGATACATGATGATTTCAGCTCCATCCAGCCCCCCACCCCGGCCTTGTTGGCCCGGTAGGCAAACGAGACAACCACGTACCGTGGCCCTAATTAATCACTTCCTCCCAAAGGCTGGACACAGACTCTCTTCTCCTGCCTGCAGAGGTCCTGGCTAAAGTGGTTTGGGAGGAGGGCAGAGAGGAGGAGCCAGAAACAGTGCAGGCAGAGCCCCCCACTGCATGCAGGAGGCCATAGGGGTGAGAGGCCTAGCCCCTGGTACAGAACTCTTCTGGGGCTGCCCACCGGCGATACTGTTCCACAACCCCAAGGTTGGAACTCAGTGGAAGGCAGGGCCAATGTAAAGTGAGACCTGTTCCCACTTAAAAACCTAACTGGACAGGGCGCCTGAGTGGCTCAGTTGGTTAAGCGACTGCCTTCGGCTCAGGTCATGATCCTGGAGTCTCTGGATCGAGTCCCGCATCGGGCTCCCTGCTCGGCAGGGAGTCTGCTTTGCCCTCTGACCCTCCCCCCTCTCATGTGCTCGCTCTCTCTCATTCTCTCTCTCTCAAAATAAATAAATAAAATCTTTAAAAAAAAAAAAAAACCTAACTGGACAGTCCAGAAATTTGGGGCCCCTCTCATCCTGCACTACATGGGCAGCTCCCTCTGGCCAGAAACCATTCTTACTCAGTTCTAGTCCCTGGGTACCCATCCACACGGGACCCTGCATGTAGTAGGGCTTCAATAAATATTTGTGGGATGAACGAGTGTTGGACGAGATGACTGTCACGAGAGAGCCCTCCCAGACCTCTGTACCTCGTGCAAAGGGCCCTCTCTCCCCTGGGAATGGCTAACCCAGGGCACTTGGACGAGGCCAGGCAGCCTGGCCTCCTCCTGTCAAAGAATGCGAAGTCAGGTCCATCGTCCTGTGTCCCATTAACTCAGCGGACTTTCACACACTACTTTTCCAAAGCTTCGGAAGCTCTCCCGAGATGACTGATGGTCTCCTTTTCTGTGGACGCAGGACCACTGTGTGGTACCCCAAAGCACGGGGGGAGGCCATCTTCCCACCACGCATCTACCTGGTCATCTTCGGCCTGAGCCAGAGCCCGAGGCTGATGCTCTTCAGCCACCCCCTGCCAGACCTGAGTCCCCGGAGCCTGACTGCAGCTTTCTGACTGCAACCAATGAAAGGAAAATGGGTTCGTGCTGTTGGCATGGACCCAGGATGCCCGTGGTGCTTTCAGAGTCCCATTTTTTTGTCAAGCTGCTGTCAAGGCACCGTGGATAATAGGCAATTTCATCCGAAATGGAAAGGACCTGCCTCAGCCAGAACTCTTCCTGGCCAGAAGGGGCAAGGGAGGATCAGCCGCCAGCACTGGGAAGGGGCATCAATGTGTATCTTAGGATCGAATTCCTCCCAATAGCAGCTGCTAGGATGAGAGTGAGAACCGCATCCCGTTCCCCATCCTGTAGGCTGGAAGCCAGACTCTGGGTGGGCGTCTGCATTGAGGAGGCGGTTCTCCATGGAGTCCGAGGAGAAAAACCTCTGAGGGTTCAGTCTTGGGCCCTGGAAAAATGGTCTGAATTCCAGGACGGTCTCTTAGTTCCAACGACCTGAGCTTCTGGAAGCCACTGTGAGGAGAATTATGGAGGCCTGTCTTCTCACAGGGAGCAAAGTGCTTGATTCACTTCAGTGCTGCTAGCAATATCTCGCCCAGGCCACCAAGCCCTTGGGTGCTTCCCACATTCCCAGTATTACCGGGGCATGCTCTGGACATTTCCAGCTGTAGGGCCTGGACCCACCACTTAGGAATGAAACCGCTTTTAGCTCCCCAGCCCTCCTGTCGGTGATGTCTGTCTTTCCCTCTGGGTGTTGACTCCTCATTCTTATTTTCACGGCTTCGGCTAAAAGGAATATGAGTCTATACTATGCTGAGAGCCTTCCACAACACAGAAAAGTTGATCCCTGCCCTTAAATATGCAAAAACAACAGTGTGATCACTTGCCGTATGCCAGGCACTGTGCTAAGTACTTTACACGCATGATCTCATTTAATTTTCCTAGCAACCCTTCGAGAGAGAGATGACGAGGGGTGACTCGCTGGCTCAGTCGGTGGAGCGTGCGACTCTGATCTCAGGGTCATGAGTTCAAGCCCCACAGTTGGCAAAGAACTTACTTAAAAAAAAATATATGGGGGCGCCTGGGTGGCTCAGTCGTTAAGCGTCTGCCTTCGGCTCAGGTCATGATCCCAGGGTCCTGGGATTGAGCCCCGCATCGGGCTCCCTGCTCGGCGGGAAGCCTGCTTCTCCCTCTCCCACCTCCCCTGCTTATGTTCCCTCTCTCGCTGTGTCTCTCTCTGTCAAATAAATAAATAAAATCTTTAAAATATATATATATATATGTATATATTATATACTTAAAAATATAAATATATATACTTAAAAATATATACTTAAAAATATAAATATATATAATATATATATACTTAAAATATAAACATATATATACATCATATATATATATATATATATATAAAAGTTTAAGAGAGAGAGACTATGATCATAGTCATTTCTCAGGGGCACCTGCGTGACTCAGTTGGTTGGGCGGCTGCCTTTGGCTCAGGTCGTGATCCCAGGGTCCTGGGATCGAGTCCCGCATCGGGCTCCCTGCTCAATGGGGAGCCTGCTTCTCCCTCTCCCACTCCCCCTGCTTGTGCTCTCTCGCTCTCTCTTACTGTCAAATAAATAAATAAAAATCTAAAAACTAAATATTCATTTCTCAGAGGAGAAAACTGAGGCCTAAAGAGGTTCAATTGCTAGCCCGAGGCCACACAGCTGCTAGGTGGCAAGCCAGTCAGGGTTCAGACATCCCCAGGCTTTCAAGGGCCACACTCCAGGAGTCAGCCCGGCCCCCCCCCCCTTTGAGGCAGTTCCCCCGGAAACAGGCACAGGTGTAGCTACACTGATCAGAAGATGGCCTGTAAATGTTGCTCACGGATCCAGGCAGCAAGTGGGTGACCAAAAGGTCATTGGTAACATTGGGGTGTGAGGTGTGGGGTACCGCAAGCCCACCTGCCCCCCTCACCTCTCTTCAGCAGGCTGCCCCAGTGCCACATGCCTCTCGGAACCCGGGGGTGGAGTGCTCTTTGTGTATAGAAATTTGTGGGGAGAGCAGTGTGTCCACAAAGCCACCGTCAAAATTATGCACACTGCCCCCCTTCATGCTCTTCAAACTGGAGTCTGAGTCCATACTCCTTATGCATTTGCATTTTTCTCAAAGATTTGGGAGGAGGGCGCCTGGGTGGCTCAGTTGGTTAAGCGACTGCCTTCGGCTCAGGTCATGATCCTGGCGTCCCGGGATCGAGTCCCACATCGGGCTCCCTGCTCGGCGGGGGGTCTGCTTCTCCCTCTGACCCTCTTCCCTCTCGTGCTCTCTATCTCTCATTCTTTCTCTCTCAAATAAATAAATAAAAATCTTTAAAAAAAAAGATTTGGGAGGAAAATATGTGAATAATACATTAAATATTTTTTTAAGTAAAAATATCATGGTGAGGAATGCACAAGTTTCATGCCTTGTAAAGAATACGTAGCATTTCGGGGTGCCTGGGTGGCTCAGTGGGTTAAGCGTCTGCCTTCAGCTCAGGTCATGATCTCGGGGTCCTGGGATCGAGCCCCACCTCGGGCTCCCAGCTCAGCGGGGAGTCGGCTTCTCCCTCTGCCTCTGCCCCCCCCCCCACAGTTCATGCTCTCTCTCCCTCTCAAATAAATAAATCTTAAAAAAAAAAAAAAAAAGAATACATACCATTTCAGAGACACTTGAGACTCATATCTGATACTTCTGGCCTTATCCCCATGCCCACCTACCCAGCGTTCACTATCCTCTACTACTAGACATGCTTTTGTCAAAATAGGACACACTCAAGGCCCATCAGGTGAGCTAACTGCTGGCATGGGCCCCAGAGGTAGGACATCGGGGACTGGCCTATGTCCGTGAATCTGGCCATGCAGGTGGGGGCCAAACACTTCTTCGGGAATAAGACACCTGGCGTGGCACGGTGCTGGGAAGAAGTTGCCTGTGACATGCTTTAGCAGAGGGTTGCCCCCAAGAATAGACAGGGGAGCCAGATTCCCTCCAAGCCGGAGATTTTTGCACCTGCAATGAGCAAGCGAAGCAGGGAGGCCGTGTGGGCTAAGTTGAGCGGTTCCCCAGAATAAAGACTCAGTGCTATTTTCGGCACAGTCGCTGACTTGCCATATGATGGGGGTACAAGTCATTTTACCTTTTTGTGCCTCTTCTCTAAAACAAAGATGACTGGATCTTTGGCCTCTCTCGGCGGCTCGGAGGACTAATGAGGTGGTGCTGAAAAGCAGCTATAAAAATCCCACACCCAAGCTGTACGAGCATAACAAGTGCAAATGGAACTGCCCCCCTTTGCAACTGGTCTGCAAACTAATTAAGCTTGCACCAAGAGCCTGGGACCAGAAACCCAGGGGCCTGTTTCCTTCAAATCCCT